AACTTTTAAAAGTCCTTGTCACCCCATCCTCGGGGTTCAATATTCCTCTTTGAACCTATTGCGCAATAAACTTTGGTCTACAGCTATTTGCTCCAGTTGGTGGCTGGACTCCTTCCTTTATTCCGCAGGGAACCGCGGGCTCTGCCCGACCAGCTGGGGGACTGAGCAGCCTCACACCTAGATTTTTCCGTAACAAGTTCAAAGTGCCGCTGATAAAACCCTCCACAGCTTTGTTCCAAGGGGGCGGAAAGACTGTCTCCCCTCCGATGAGCCTGCCTGGGTTTTGAGATCTTTGGGGGAAGCCACCCTCACAGGCAGGCCTGGTGGGGACGCAAGACAGGGCCTTCTTGGTGGTGGCTCGGTCCATCTACACCAGAATTATCCATACCTTCCCTCTTCGTGGTACAATTTAAAACAACAAGTCTGCAACTTGCCCTCAGCAGTTAAGCAGAATAATTCACATTTTTAGTGGCAAATTGTCTAACCCTCCTTATCCGAGTGACGGTGTTTGCAGATGACCCAAACTATCATAGAATCATAGAGTTGGAAGGGACCTTGGGGGTCCTCTAGTCCCTGCAATGCAGGAATCTCCGCTCAAACAGGCCTTGACAACGCACTCGGAATAAGCTCTGCAGAGACTCAGCAAACATTTTGCCCTTGCAAGCCTGCAGGGAGTTCAGCCTCACCACCAGCCTGACAAAAACCAACATCCTGGGCCCGGGCATTGCCTGAGCAGCTTACCCCTTCCTCCTCCCTAGTCCCTAGGGAAGCCATCCCCAGAAATCTGCAGAGAAACCCAAGGTTTAAACATAGCTGGAACTGGACGCCAGCAGCCCCCCCCCCGCCCTCCACAAGCCCCCACTGATGGGGATCAGCAAGACGATATATGAATTATATTTAATCCTCTACAGACCCACATGTGTGGGTGAACACAGAGAGGGAAAACAGCTGGTGCCTGTTCATAAAAACTCTGGGCTTACACACAGAGCTTTTCAATTATGTGTTTTTATTAAAGATTTTAAACAAACAAGCATTTAAATCCCATTGTTAGGCAGAGTTACGAAGCACAGAAATAGGCTACTCCAGGGGTGGCCAAACTTGGCCCTCCAGCTGTTGTTGGACTACAACTCCCATCATCCCTAGCTAACAGGACCACAGGTCAGGGATGATGGGAATTGTAGTCCCAAAACAGCTGGAGGGCCAAGTTTGGCCACCATTGGGCTACTCGACCTTCTTTCATTTTGTTCCAGCTGCTTGAGGCAGCTTAAGCTCCTCCGACGCTCATGCAGTGAAAGAGACCAAACTCAGAAGTAAGTTTAAAAATGCTTTACTTACTTAACCCAAGGTCCCGGTCATGCTTTATCCTGCAGGCGAATGTGCTTTTGTGGAAAGATACAGGAAGAGAGCAAAGTTTCCCCTCAACCCCCTCGGACATTGTTAGGTTTGACTGCAAACCTCCCACCCCCCAGAAGGTTGCAGCAGAGTCCCTGCCCTTATTTAGTGTCAAACATTAAGAAACAGACCCTGCTGTGAAGGCCAAATCCACTTCCTTCTCCAGTCTGCAAATCCGAGGGGCCTGGGAGACAGAGCTCCTTACGACCCCCCTGCAATGTAGTCCATGCTGAATGGTTTGAGTGGTTCTGGTTCACAACCCTGCGGTGTTGCCTAGCAGCACACGGCCCCTCTGGCAGCAGATTGATTGATTGATTGATTGATTGATTGATTGAATTGATTGATAAAATTTCTATGTCGCTTTTCATTCAAATGAATCTCAAAGTGGCTTACAACCAATAAATAGCCATAATAAAACATAACAGCACATCGTGAATACAGCATACGTCATCTAAAATAATTAACAAATTGCAATCTATAAAAAACGTAACAAATCAGCAACTAAAAAATAAGCTAAGCCTCACAGTTACGGCAAGTCATTTGATTAACAAATCAAGGCAGCATTTAGAATCTATAAAACAATATTAAAAACATCCACAAAATAGCAAGTAAAAGATAAGATAAGCACTAAGTTCATTCCCACCATCTCTGCACCCCCAGGACTCAGAAACCTTCCCTCTGTTCAGTTCATTAAAACACACAAAGGCACCTCATGCCTGTTGTTACGACAGCTCAGCCAGACGCTGGGCTGGCCAGGGTCCGAGTCGCGGGCCGTGGGGGAGATGGGGGCTCTCAGGCCTCCCGCCAGTGGGAAGGCGGATGTGGTCTGCCCAGGCACTGTGGAGGCGGAACTTGCCCCCATCGCTGTCAGTCATCAGGAGGTCCATTCCCCCTTGGCCAGTCCCTCTGGAGCAGCGAGGCCAACTGTCCTGGGGGCAGAGGCCGGCCAGGAGGTCCAGCAGTGGCCCTGGGGCCTGGCCAACAGGAGCTGCTCCAGCCCAGGGCCCAATTGACCTATAAACTAGACAAGCTCTAGCTTAGGGCCCCACCTTTTTTTAGGGGGAAAACAACGGGATATTTCAAAAATATAAGATAAAAAAGAAATAAAACCAACATACAGCAACCATGATTTGTGTTTTGTCAGCTCTAGGATGTAAGTCATGGGCCCCACCTGCTAGCTTGCTCCCTCAAATATCACCGGTTTGCTCCTTTCTATATATAGGGTGCCTACATTCTACTATTTATAATTATGAGTCATTTGCATCATATATCTACACCTCTTATTATTTCATGTTCTAGCTAGTTTCTAGAAACTAGATGATGAGTCTTGTGTTTCTAAAAGGAACCTTTGTTCTTGCCAAATGCCAATGTGTTTGCGTTATTGTTATGAATCAAAAACCATTTTAAGTTAGAGCTTCATAATTATTACACTATTAATATACTTCTTCATTGTATTTCACAATTAATATCCTCCTTCTTCATTGTATTTCAGCTCAGCAATGACTTTGATAAAATATTCTGTGATGTGCAAATGGCTTTTGATACCTATTAGGTCCATAAATTACCATCCATCATATATTCAACACAAAAAAGAGCGTCAATTTGTTGTTGACAAAGGACAGCCGGACATAGAAAGGGCCTCATTCCCTTCCGGAGCTGAGGGCCGCATCAAACTGAAATCCGGCCCTGCTCCAACCTGTCTGACAACCCTGCAATGTTCTCCATGGCCTTTTAGGCCTGAGAGCAGCACACAACAGCCCTGCAGTGCGGCTCCCCGGCAGAATTCCTCTTGCTGGCTGGAGGCTCATGCGCAGAGGCAGCAGCTTGCAGCAGGCCTGCAAAGGAGTAAACAGGGGGGGGGGGGGGTTTGTCCGATTCCCAGGTCACAAATCACAACTAAGTTTCAGGACGCAGCAAAGGCCAATCAACTGAAATTGCTCCCTCCCAAGCCTCCAGCTGAGGACAGAAGCCTCACCCTTGACTGGACAGGGTGGAGGTGGGACTTGCGGTCCTCCAGAGGTTGCTGGACTACAACTCCCATCATGCTGTGGGGCATTTGCACCCTTCAGCTTCTGTAGGTTGGTCCATCACCACTGCCCTCCCCCCAGCTGACTGGCACCTAGACTGGTGGTGCTTATTTCAATGTTCATAATTTTTGGAAGCTGCCCAGAGTGGCTGGGGCAACCCAGTCAAATAATATTATTAATAATTATTATTTACCACTCTGGGCGGCTTCCAACAAAATATTAAAATACAGTAGTCCATCAAACATTAAAAGCTTCCCTAAACAGGGCTGCCTTCAGATGTCTTCTTAAAGTCTGGTAGTTGTTCTTCTCATTGACATCTGGTGGGAGGGCGTTCCAAAGGGCGGGCGCCACCACCGAGAAGGCCCTCTGCCTGGTTCCCTGCAACCTCATTCTTGCAATGAGAGAACCGCCAGAAGGCCCTTGGAGCTGGACTTCAGTGTCCGGGCAGAATATTATTATTATTATTATTATTATTGTTATTATTGAATCATAGAATTGCAGATCTGGAGAAGACACCTAGGGTCATCTAGTCCAACCCCCTGCCTTGCAAAAGGTTCAAAATCCTTTTTAAAGTGCACATGAAGTAAGAACTTTCTGGCGGCAAGAGCTATTCCTCAGTAGATGTTGGGCTCCCCTTCCTTGGAGGTCTTTCAGCAGAGGTTGGACGGCCACCTGTCCTGGATGCTTCAGCTGAGATCCCTGCATTTTAAGGGGGTTGGACTAGATGACCCTGGAGTTCCCTTCCAACTCTCCAATTCTGAGGCCCAAGTCAGAGGAAACGTCCCAGCCTCGCCTGCTCCCTTGGGGTCTTTTTCATTGGCTAAGGCAGGGAGCGGCCGCTGGGAGGCTCGTTCACCCGAAATCCCCCCGCAGAAACCCCATCGCGCAGCCGAGTAAAGTCTTTTCATGCGCGCTTCTCGCTTGGCGATTATTATGCAATTATGCCGCGAACTGTTTACGTGGGCTGGATCGGCATGCCTGTCACTCATGCTTAACTGACAGCTGCCAGCGGCTCCCTGAATATTCAGAGCTCCTGCGATCCACGCGCTGCATTTTAATGCTGCATTTTGACGAAGGGGCGCGGGCGCTTAAGGCAGCGAGCGGCGCGCAGCCAACGGTCCCGGCGCCCAGCTCCTCGCGCGCAGCGCAGCGGGCCGCGGATGCTGCCAGGCCGAGTCAGGCGACGGGGCCCAGCCCCATATTGCCCGCCCGGACCGGCAGAGGCTCTCCCGGGTCTCAGGCTCCCAGGCCGACCTGGCCAGGTGCCAGCGCGCTTTGCGCCCCCCTCGGACCTTCGGCTCGCCAGGCAGGCGCTGCGCCCCCGAGGGGACCCCGCCCCGCGGCTCCCACCCTGTTTACACGCGTGTAGGAGCCGCCCGCCCGGCAGGATCGGCTCGCCCTCCTCCTCCTTGTATCCGAATTAGAGGCCGGAATAAAATCCTCCGCAGACTAAAATAAAAAATAAAAATTAGTTGTTTAGTTTACTTGTTTCTATTTTTCTCTTTTGTTTCGATTTGGGATTGTTATTGTTGGTTGTTTTTTATTTGCAAAATAAATAAAGCATTTATTTAATAAATAATAATGCTCCCCAGACGCCCTCCGGAAGAGGCCGAGACTCTCGGGGGTCTTTTTGCGCCTCCCCGTCCCTCGGAAAAGACCTCGGGGGTCTCGTTAAAAAGCCCCCTTCCGGGGTGCCAACTTGAACATTATATCGATCATGACGCATAATCGATCATAACGCGGCATCCACTCCATTGGAATGGCAATGCCCATCAACTTTGGGGGAGCTCGGCCCCCCAAATATTTTCTGGCGGGTCCGAAGACCCCCCCCCCGGCCCCCTGTCCAGATAGACTGCGCTTGGCCAGGAGGCTCAGTCCGCTCCGGCGCCGCGCCTGGCCCCGATCCCTGAATCGCGCGCGTCTTGGGGGGCACAGCCGCGGGTCCTGCCCCCCCCCGGCTCGGGCCGCGCAGGGCGCCGACGCCAGGCCGGCCATCTTGGAGCCGGGCCGGAAGAGGCGGCTGCGCTCCGGGCGCGGCGGAGGAAGGAGGCTGAGCGCGGGGAAACCGGGAAGCCCCCCCAACCCCGGACGCCCCCTCGGAGCCCCCGCCCCGCCGCGCGCACCCGGCTCCCCCGCTGGCTCCGGGCGCGCAGGAGAAGAGCCGGGAAGGAGGGAGGGAGGGAGGGCAGGAGGGAGGCCAGCCAGCCGGCCGACGGGGGGGGGCGGGCAGGCGGGGGCGCTTCTCCGGCCCGCCGACGCCCCTCCCCGGCCCGCCCCTCGCCTCCGCCCGCAGCCGAGCAGGAAGGAAGCGCAGCGCGGAGCGGCGAGCAAGGGAGCCGCCGAGTGAGGCTCTTCCCGGGCGTCGGGGCTGCTGTCGGGCGAGCGAGCGAGGCATGGGGGGTCGGCGGGGGCGCGGGCGCTGCTGGCCGGGGCGCTGCTGGCCGGGGCGCTGGCCGGGCCGTGGGCCACCGGGGCCGGCGGCTCCCAGGACGCGGCGGCGCTGGCGGAGCTTCTCCCCGAGACCGGCGTCCGCTTCGGCTGGAGGAACCTCAGCTGCCCCGCCTGCAAGGCGCTCTTCCTGGCCCTCGACGTGGGCGTGCAGGTGGGTCTCCGGGGCGCGCGGGATGGGGGGCAGCGGGGCTCGGACGGGGCGGGCCGCTCGGGCGCCGTCCTGCACTCTCCCCGCCCCCCAAAAGGAGAAGCGCTCCCCCCGGACGCCCCTTCTGACCGCAACCTGCGGCTTCTGCTTCCCAGCACGAATCAGCTGACAGGATGCCAGGAAAGCGACCCGAGCGGCGCCGCGGTCCCGACATGGCCGCTTTTAAGGCGCCGAGGGAGGCAGTCGGCATTGCGCGGGGTTGGGCTGGATGGCCTCGCGGGGTCCCGTCCAGCGCTACAAGCCTGGGATTCCACACGGCACCGAAGGGACCGTAGAAACCAGGGTGAACAGACGTGGCCGATTCCCCTCCCTTCCTGAAAGCCTTTCTGGGGCCACAGCAGAAAAGGCCCTGTTGACCTGAAGAGGCCCAGAGCGCAGCCCCCCCCTGCTCCCCATTACTTGAACCCTAGTTGTGCGTCAGCTGCCCCACTTCCCTGTCTGAGGCTGTTGCCCTACAAGCAGGGGAAGCTGGGGCAGAGGGTGGCTCCCGAGGGAAACCCCAAATGAAGGGGGCAGCTCCAGAAGCTGCCACTCCCCGGAGCCTTATTATCTAGCCAGGGCTGCCTTCCCTGGCCGGCAGCTGCTCCCCCCCCCACACACAGGCAGGAGATGTTTTGCACCCGAGTCTGAAGAGGCTGCTGGCCCAGGACAACCTTTGGACCTTCCCTTTGCAAAACAGTTCTCTGCCCCGTGACCAGGGGGTCGGGGTGGGGCAAGGCTGCCCTAGGGCTCCACAGATCCCTGCAAGAAGCCGGAATCCACCCTGTGCATCCTGCCCTTCCTTGCTCTTCTTCTTCCCGAAGAATTTCCTTCTGTCCCTTCTGGGACACCCCCCCCCCCAAGAGAAGGGAGTCCTGTGGGGAATCTTCCCAATTATTCCTGAAATGACCTGGCAGGAGGTCTCATGTCTACAGACACCTTTCATTTCCTTTACTCTGAATTTGAGCTTTTCTTAGTATCCTAGATTTGTAAAGTTGGAAGGGACCCTCAAAGGTCCTCTAGCCTAACCCCCTGCAATGCAGGTATCAAAAGCGAAGGAATCCCTCTGTCTTGTGGAGCTCGGGGGGCAGAGGAGGGAGCCCTAAAGGGGTCAGGGACAGGCTGCCAGCACCCGCCCCTCCAAGCGAGATTTTAAACCATCATCAAATTGTCGCCGGAAGGGACCCTTGGGTCATCTAGCCCAACCCCCTGCAGTGCAGCTAAATCCGTTCATTGGGAATTGGACAAGTTCTGAACTCCAGGCTGCGGCATCGCAGCTGCCCCTGCTTCTGCCTGAGACTGGCTTGGGGGGCAGCAGCTGGCAGCTGAGCCCAGCGCAGTCTAGGCTGCTCCCGCCACCCAGACCCCACAGATGCAACGGGATCCCTGGCAAAGAGGGAAGTTGCTCTCAGCCACAACACCCCCCCCCCAGGTGAGTCAGCTGACTGCCTTGTCAGCTGCTTTGGGGAGGAAGTGTGGTGTAGTGGTTGGAGTGCTGGGCTTGGAAGCCAGGGCTCCAATCCCCCTTCAGGGAGTGACTTTGGACCAGTCACCATCTCTTGGCCCAACCTTGCAGGGGTATTGTGAGGTTAGGATGGAGAGGGGAAGAATTATGGGTGCCAACTTACAGAATCAAAGAATTGACACCCCCCCATAAAGTATGAGAATTGCCCAGTCCCTTAGACCAGCCTCTGCCCACCTGGTGCCCCCCATTCCAGAAGCTGTGGGTGGCGCCTCCCAGCAGCCCCAGCCCACCTGGCAGAGGGCACCAGGTGGGCAGAAGCTGGCAAAGCAATGTCAGAGGTCCATAGCAGGTGGAGTGCGAAGGCGCCAGCCCCACTAGCCCGTCCCCACCTCTTCCTTCCAGATATGCAGCTCTTCTGGCAGCCGAGCGACTTGGGCAGAGGCCCAGCTACCTTGGCTCTGGGCGGCAGCTTCTGGCTCCCGGGGTCATTAGACTTTTCCATGAAGCCGTTCCTCCCCTGTGTGGCCCTGGCTGCCTGGTTTCCCTGCTGCTCTGGGTGCCCGGCTGTCTCCGTCTGCCCCACCTGCCCCCCAGGGCCTGGCCCCAGTGGGGCAATGCGGTTTGCCAGCTGCTCCCCCCAACCCAGCCCATCCTTCCGCCAAGCCAGAGGGGAAGCAGGTTGGGCAAGGCCGGGGGGGGGGGGGGAGTCCTTTCTGGGCCTGGGCTGCAAAACAGCCTGGAGGAGGGGACAGGGTGACTCGTTCCTTCACCAGAGTAAACATGGACCTTCTCTTCAGAGCTCTGGAGGGTCTCCAAATATCTCTAGGGCTGTCACGGGGAAGGGGGAGCCAGCCAGTTTTCTGCTGCTCCTGAGGGCAGGACTCCGTCCAGGAAACTCACATGACAAGGAATTCTGACTAAGCGTCAGGAAAAATTTCCTGAGGGTCAGAGTAAAGGGGGGGCTCATCTTCTTTGGAGGTTTCTAAGCAGAGCTGGGGGGGGCTGTCTGTCCAAGATGCTTTATCTGAGATCCCCGCGTTGTGGGGGTTGGACTAGAGGACCTTTGGGGTTCCCTCTCGATTCCACAATTCTGTGACTTCCTCTTTCGGAATGAGGTGTTTTCAGAGCCTCTGACAAAGGACCTCCTTCCTTCCTTCCTTCCTTCTTTTCTTTTCTTTTCTTTTCTTTTCTCCCCCCCCCCCCCTTTTCTCTCTCTCTCTCTCTCTCTTTCTTTCTTTCCTTCTTCAGCCAAGAGGTAAGAGCCTCTTGACTCTCCCCTTTCTGTGCAGCTCCTCCTTTTCTGGTGCAGGAGAAGCTTCTGCCCCCCCCTGCCCCTCCCCCTGCTGGAGTTGTCGGGGGCTCAGTTTGGCCCATTTTGCTATCCTTGCTGCTGGGCACTTCTCTGCCTCCCCCCCCACAAGAGAGGGAGGGTGCCAGGGCCCCTTCCGGAGCGGGGCCTCTCTTTGCCTCTTAATCCCAGCCTTCCTCTGGTCACGGGATACTGCCTGGCACAGAGATCCCTGGCCAGGGTGATTTGCTCCCTTGGCAAGGGCGGGTGTTGAGCAGTGCCCTCAAAGGGATGATGGGGGTGCCGTGGGGCACAGGAGACCCCTGCCTGCCTGAAACAGGAAACACGGGTTGGGGAGCTTTTCCGCCACCCCTCAATTATCCGATTATGCATTTCATTTCCTGCATCCTGCAATTATCTGCAGAGGTGGCATTTGCATGCGTGTGGCAACCGCTTCCCCTTCGGAGGCTGCCCTGTTTCTCCCGCCCCTCCCTGCCAAGCCGTGACCCTGACCTTGGCTCCTGGCCCTGAGATGATGATGGTGATAATGATGATGATGATTACTGTATTTTTCGCTCTATAAGACGCACCAGACCACAAGATGCACCTTATTTTTGAGGAGGAAAACAAGGGGAAAAAATATTCTGAATCTCAGAAGTCAGAACAACAAGAGGGATCGCTGTGCAGCGAAAGCAGCAATCCCTCTTCCTGTTCTGGCTTCTGGGATAGCTGTGCAGCCTGCATTCGCTCCATAAGATGCACACACATTTCCCCTTACTTTTTTGGAGGGAAAAAGTGAGTCTTATAGAGCAAAAAATATGGTATATTTATTTATCCCCTGCCCATCTGGTTGGGTTTCCCCAGCCACTCTTGTCTTTTAATTCCCAACAGAATTAAAAGCACCATAAAACGAGGAGGCAGGGGCTGGACAGGGAGGCCCACTGGCCTTCAGCTCCTTCCTCACTTGCTGGGCAGCTGCAGCACCTCCACGATGAAGCTGGATCGGTGCCTCAGCTGTGATCCTGATGGGCCTTCAGGGGAGTCAGCTCTCTGCTGCCTGGCAGAGTGTAAGAACAGAAAGTCCTAGAGTGGGACCAGGGACTCCCAGGGGTCATCCAGTCCAATCCCCCGCAAGGCAGGAATCGCCACTCAAGGATCCTGGGCAGGTGGCCATGCAAGCTCTGCTTAGAAACCTCCCAGGAAGGAGCGCCCACCCCCTTAAAGCCCCTCTTAGTGCCACAAAGCTCTTCCAAATATTGAGTCCTGATCTTTTAATCCGGCGCTTTGGGATCTCTTGCTCTCTGGAGAAGCAGAAAAGAACTCCGGAAGGTGGACTTGGAGGAGATCCTCCGTTTTGTTTTTTAATAATACAGTGGACGCTTGGGTTGCGAACGTGATCCGTGCAGGATGCACGTTCGCAACCCGCAGTGTTTGCAACCCACGTCTGCACCTGCGCGGGTTGCGATTTGGCGCTTCAGCACATGCATGACTGCCGAAACCTGGAAGTAACCCATTCCGGTACCTGCGGGTTCCGGCTGTCCGTAACCTGAAAAAACGCAACCTGAAGCGTCTGTAACCCGAGGTATGACTGTAATAATATTGATTAAGTTTTCCATTTTCGGGGAGTGATGATCTCCCAGTGATCTCACATTTGTGCTGCTTCCCTTAATTAGTCCAGGTAGTTCCAATAAGACATTCCATTGCAGATCCTTCGTTTATTTTTAACAGCCTCTGAGTCTGTTTCTGTGTGGATGTATATTTTCTGCGTTTCTCTTTGTTCTTCGACAGTCTGTCTGTGGCAATTCACTTTCACTTTCTCACGCCTGTCGCTTTCCACTGTGACACACCCCAAGCGGGAGGAAATCTGGCTCTCCACCATTTGTACCAGGCATATATCCAAACGTCTGTGTGGTGTAGTGGTTGAGAGTGGTAGTCTTGTAATCTGGGGAACCGGGTTCGCGTCCCCGCTCCTCCACTTGCAGCTGCTGGGTGACCTTGGGCCAGTCACACTTCTCTGCAGTCTCTCAGCCCCACTCACCTCACAGAGTGTTTGTTGTGGGGGAGGAAGGGAAAGGAGAATGTTAGCCGCTTTGAGACTCCTTAAAGGGAGTGAAAGGCGGGATATCAAATCCAAACTCTTCTTCTTCTTCTTCTTATCTCCTTCCAAGACAAATAAGCCTGTGCTGTAGCTAGAAACCATAATTTCCATCATCTATTCTTATCAATCCGTTGAATGTGATTACAAAATTCATAAATTCCGCACAGTTAATTCTGTAGTTAAACCATAATCATAACAATAATGAAATACTCTTTCTTTCCAGTCCCACTTGCATATGTAAATCCAAAAATGAGACCTTTATCTGGTTGTAAATATGAAGATTATACCAGCAAGAATGAGTCTTTCTGTAAAAAAAGGATTGACTGTATTGTATAAGACTGGGGTTCCTTACTTTAAAATGATGTGAAAAACTGTGGGTTATTTATACACGGGGCAGCCTCCCCCCTATTTTCTTAAATTGGAGTCCCTAAAAATTGGGGGCGTCTAATACCTGGGGGCGTCTTATACACAGAAATATATGGTAAATCAAGTCTTACTGACTAGTGATTTACCGTATTTTTCACCCCATAGGACGCACTTTTTCCCCTCCAAAAATGAAGGGGAAATGTGTGTGCGTCCTATGGGGCGATGGCAGGCTTGCGCTGACGCGTGCAGAGCGCGCGGGGTCGGGGCGCACCGACCCCTCACTCTCCAGGCTTCGCGCAGATCTCCGCAAGCCGCGGGAGCCCTGCGCGGGCTCCCACGGCTTGCGGAGAGTTGCCTGCATGCCAAAGGCTGGGCACGCTGAGCTCAGTGCACCCAGACTTCGCACAGCTCTCTGCAAGGCGCGGGAGCCCGGCGCCAGGCTCCCACGGCTTGCGGAGAGTTGCCTGTTCTGGGGGCTGGGGTCGGGGGAAGCTTGGGCTTCCCCCGACCCCAGCCCCATGCCTGGGGGGGAAATAAAATGTTTTTCCTTTATTTCCCCCCCAAAAAACTAGGTGCGCCTTATGGGACGGTGCGTCCTATAGGGCGAAAAATACGGTAAATTGATTTGATTTAAATCAAATCCCCTGCCCCTAGTCAGAGTGGGGATTCGAACCCCGCTCTCTCCCAGTTCCTTGAAGTCTGACTGGGTTCCTAGCTCTGCTCCCACAGAACCAGGGACTGGGAAGGGCCCCCTGGGCATCATCCAGCCCACCCCCCCTTCCCTTGGTGTGACCCTCTCTCTCTCCTCCCCTCTCTTGCAGCTACAGTCAAGCCAGGACTGGATCCAGCGCACGGGGGTGGCAGTCTGCCTGCGCCTCCGCGCGGGCACCCCCCAGGTGTGCCAGGACGTCATCCGCCTCTTTGTGCCCGACTTCCTGACGGCCTGGCGGCGCTCGGTGCTGCGCCCGGACGAGATCTGCGGGCTGCTGGTGGGCTCCCGCTGCGGCCACTGGGACATCTACTCCGACTGGAACGTTACCCTGCCGCGGGCGCCCAAGCCGCCCGGTCGTGCCCCCCGCGCCCCCTCCGCCGGGCGCCCCCTCCACCCGCATCCTCTTCCTCACCGATCTGCACTGGGACAAGGCCTACGCCCCCGGCAGCAACCCCGACTGCAAGGACGCCCTGTGCTGCCGGGGGGGCTCCCCGTCTCGCGGGCCGGGGGCCGGCTTCTGGGGCACCTACGGGCGCTGCGACCTGCCCCTGCACACCCTGGAGAGCCTCCTGCAGCACCTGGCAGGATCCGGCCCCTTTGACCTGGCCTACTGGACGGGCGACATCCCCGCCCACAACATCTGGGAGCAGAGCCGGGCTGACCAGCTGGGGGCGCTGGGCACCATCACGGCCCTCATCCAGAAGCACCTGGGGCCGCTGCCCGTCTACCCGGCCGTGGGCAACCACGAGGCCGTGCCCGTCAACGCCTTCCCCCCGCCCTTCGTGGTGGGCAACCAGTCCTCCGCCTGGCTCTACGAGGCCATGGCCGAAGCCTGGCGCCCCTGGCTGCCCCCCCATGCCCTGGGGACCCTCAGGTAGGCGGGGGGTCCTGCTCTGGAGGGGGGCATTGCACATTTCATAGGGATCCCAGCCAGAGAGTACTTGGGGGTCCCACACTTCTACGTATCAGGCTCAGTGAGAGTGGAATTATTATTATTACCGTATTTTTCGCTCCATAAGACGCACCTTTTTCTTCCTAAAAACTAAGGAGAAATGTCTGTGCGTCTTATGGAGCAAATGCGTGCTCCCTGGAGCCGAATTGCCCAAGGGTGAAAAGCAGATCATGCTTTTTCTTTTTCTTTTTAAAAAGGGAAGTGGGTGTTGAAACAAAGCCGCTGATCGTTTGCTGATGGGGAGAGAGATAAGGGACGCTAGAGATAAAGGAGGCTGCCTGGGAGGGGGGAGGTAAAGACAGCAAACTTGCAAAAGGGGGAAACAGGAAGACTAAAGCAACAAGGAGAGAAATTAGAAGAAAAGGAGGAGCAAAAAACTGCTCCAGCTGAGGAAAAGACACTAAGGCAAACGAGTGAAGGGAGTGTTGAAAGGAAACAGCTGATGGGTGGGATCGGAAGAGAGATAAGGGAGAGATAAAGGAGGCTGCCTGGGAGGGGGGAGGTAAAAGCCCATGGATCCTCAGGATTTTTACCATCAGATCACATGTCTGTGGCCACAGCATGAACCACAAAAATCATACATCCACTGTTTCGTTCAGAATATATTTTTTCTTGTTTTCCTCCTCTAAAAAACTAGGTGCATCTTATGGTCAGGTGCGTCTTATGGAGCGAAAAATACGGAATAATAATAATAATTTTTTTTTCTCCAATTTATACACCACCCTATACCCAGAGGTCTCAGGGTGGTTCGCAACAAGACCACAACATATGAAATCCAACCAAAAGCAGTAACCCAATACCCCCCCCCCCAAATGCCAGATTCTAAAAGAACGTTGAATGTCAATAAGATCAACCAAAGACTTGGTTAAAAAGGAATGTTTTTGCCTGGCGCCTAAAGGTGTGTAATGAAGGTGACCTTCCCTGGGGAGACCATCCCGTAGACAGGGAGCTACTGCAGAGAAGGCCCCGTTCTCATGTTGCCACCCTCTGGACCTCTCAAGGAGGCGGCACACGAAGGAGGGCCTCAGAGGGTGATCTCAGGGTCCGGGTGGGTTCATATGGAAAGAGGCGGTTTTGAGGTCTTGCAGTCCTGAGCCTTTTAAGGCTTTATAGGTCAAAACCAGCACTTTTAATTGGTCCCAGAAACTAATGGGTAGCCAGTGCAGTCGGACCCGGATTGGTGTGAGATGTTCAAACCGCCTTGCTCCGGTGAGCAGCCTGGCCACTGAATTTTGCACCAGCTGAAGTTTCTGATCCATCTTCAGAGGCAGCCCTACGTAGAACGCATTGCAGTAATCTAACCTTGAGGTTAGGGACGCGGGTGGTGCTGTGGGTTAACCACAGAGCCTAGGGCTTGCCAATCAGAAGGTCGGCGGTTCGAATCCCCGCCACAGGGTGAGCTCCCGTTGCTCAGTCCCTGCTCCTGTCAACCTAGCAGTTCCAAAGCATGCCAAAGTGCAAGTAGATAAATAGGTACCAGTTCGGTGGAAAAGTAAACGGCGTTTCCGTGCGCTGCTCTGGTTCGCCAGAAGCGGCTTAGTCCTGCTGGCCCCATGACCCGGAAGCTGTACGCCGGCTCCCTCGGCCAATAAAGCGAGATGAACGCCGCAACCCCAGAGTCGGGCACGACTGGACCTAATGGTCAGGGGTTCCTTTACCTTTACCTTGAGGTTACCAGAGCATAGACCGCAGTAGTTAGGCTCTCCCTGTCCAGATACGGGCGTAGCTCGGCCATCAGCCTAAGGTGATAGAAGACACTCCAGGCCACTGAGGCCACCTGAGCCTCCAGCGACAGCGAAGGATCCAGGAGGACCCCAAAGCTACGAACCTGCTCCTTTGGGGCAGCGTAACCCCATCCAGAGCAGGCAGACTCCCACCCATCTGGTCTAGGGAACCCCCCACTAACAGGGCCTCCATCTCACCTGGATTGAGGGAGGGCAGGGACTGGGGCTTCTTTTCCTTCCTGCGCCCTGACGCCTCTCCCCCCCTTTCTTCCCTGCCGCAGGTTGGGGGGCTTCTACACCCTCCTGCTGCAGCCCGGCCTGCGCCTCGTCTCCCTCAACATGAACTTCTGCTCGGACGCCAACTTCTGGCTCCTCATCAACTCCACGGACCCGGCCGGGCAGCTGCAGTGGCTGGTGGGGGTCTTGCAGGGGGCGGAGGAGCAAGGCGAGAAGGTGAGGGGGCTTCACTGGGGTGGGGGACGGGCGCGGCCAGCGGACGGGGGGAAGACTCCTTCCTTCCTGCCCGGTCCAGCTGTGTGCCAGTCCAGTCCCCCGAAATGGTTCTCAGCCCCACTTCTTCTTCTTGCCCCCCACCCAGGTCCACATCATCGGCCACATCCCCCCGGCGCACTGCATGCGCTCCTGGGGGTGGAACTATTACCGCATCATCAGCAGGTGAGATGCTTGCATGCCCCCCCGCGCCACCTGGGACCTTGCCCTCCCTCCATGCCGCTCTGCCAGTCGGAAGGGACCCCAAGGGCCATCTAGTCCAGTTGGGGGGCGCCTCCTCCCCTGGCCCCCTTAATCCTGCTCTTTCCTGCCTCTTGCCCCCCATGGCTGGGCCAGAAAGGGGGCCACTGCCCATTCTCCCCATGGCGTCCCCCTGCCCTGCCTCAGTTTCCCAGGCTGTGGCCGTGGGTTCTGGGAAGAGGAGATCCCAGCTAGCCCCACATTTACCCCTGTCCTCTCCCCCAGGTTTGAGGGCACGGTGGCCGGGCAGTTCTTTGGCCACACGCACTTGGACGAATTTGAGCTGTTCTACGACGAGGAGACCCTCTCGCGCCCGGTGGGCATCGCCTTCGTGGCCCCCAGCGTCACCACCTACGTCAACCTCAACCCAGGTGAGTTGGGGGGAGGGAATCCTGCCCCCAGGGCTGGCCAAGGATGAAATGGGGATCCCCATCAGCATCAGTGCCCAATCCTCTCCAAAAGCAGTCCGAGTTGTGGCAATCGCTTACTCTTGTGGCAGGGAGTTCCACAGCTCACCTAAGAAGGACTCATAAAACTGTCCTGTCCTTCCTAGTGGGGTAGGAGAGCTAGGGTGGGGGGGTCACATCTGACCCCCCTTTGGATTTCAGATAGTAGATGACTCTGGAAAAACCCAGGAAACACCTTTTCAAGGCCCTCTGGCAGTTCTAGTAGCTCATTGACCAGGAGGAAAGCACTGTATTTTTTGCTCTATAAGACTCACCTTTTCCCTCCTAGAAAGTAAGGGGAAATGTGTGTGCGTCTTATGGAGCGAATGCAGGCTGCGCAGCTATCCCAGAAGCCAGAAAATTGTTTTTCTTGTTTTCCTCCTCCAAAAACTAGGTGCGTCTTTTGTTCTGGTGTGTCTTACAGAGTGAAAAATACGGTATTTAGCATTAACTCTGGAATTGTGGACTCGATTCTAACCAAACTAAGTCTCCTAAAGCAAAATCTACTTCAATCGCACCCCATACTCCCAAAAAATGACCATAAAACCCTCAAACTCCCTGCCTTTAATCATTGATATGAGGCATCCTTAAAGAGTAACTGTAATTTTAGTACATCAGTACAAAAAACAAATGTCAAATACAATAATATTCAACTGAATTTGGCCAGAATCGAGTACACCCTTCCAGAGTGAATGCTAAATGCAAGACTAGTCTCTCCTTTTAGGCTGTCTGAAATTGGTTGGCAGAAACACATTGGGATTATTTCCAGAACTCCTGGCCCACCGTCCGAGAGATGCATGTTGGGAGTTGCAGTTCGAGGCCTGGGGGCCCCCTTTGCTTTTCTAGGGGGGTGCAGAATGCTGCTGCCACAGCCCCTTTCATTTAAACAGGAAAAACCAACTTTCTTACGTTTTCAAAATTTACAACAAAAGAATACTAAAAAAATTCCTAAATTACATAGTCTAAGATAAAATAAGTCTTACAAATTACATGATAGCAATAGCTACAGGTAGGCAGCCATGCTGGTCTGCTGTAGTCAAAACAAAATAAAAAAAATTCCTTCCAGTAGCACTTTAGAGTGTATCTGAAGACGTATGCATGCGCATGAAAGCTCATACCGATAACAAACTTGGTTGGTCTCTAAGGTGCTATTGGGAGGAATTTTTTTATAACAGAAATATTTAAAGATCAGGATAAATAGAATAACAGAGAGAGAGAGAGAAGAAAAGAAAAGAAAGAAAAAGATGAAAAAACCAAAACAAAATGACAAAACTAAAAACTGCAACAAAAGGCAACAAAAAAATAAAAATAAAAATACTTTTCAATAACAAACATTATTCAGGAAGTTCAAACCAATACTTATATATTTTGTACACGAAGTCCTCCATACTTGTTTGAGTCCCTTATAAATTTATTGACTTCCCTCTATCACTTTGCGGCTTCGACTCTATTATTATAATTCAATAATCTGCGTTTGATTGTCCAAACAGTAGGAAGAAAGATTTTCCTGTTTTGTGAAATTAAACACAACCCAATGATGTTGTTGTTGTTGTTGTAACCCTTTCCCTGCCAGGCTACCGCGTCTACCAGGTGGACGGCCCGCGTCCCGGCAGCTCCTTCCAGGTCCTGGACCACGAGACCTTCATCCTCAACCTGACGCTGGCCAACGTGCCGGGTGCGAAACCCCAGTGGCAGCGCCTCTACGGGGCCCGCCAGGCCTACGGCTTGGCCAGCGCCTTCCCGGCCGACTGGGACGCCCTGGTGCGGCGCATGCAGACGGACGAGGGTCTCTTCCAGCGCTTCTGGCTCCTGATGCACAAAGGGCACCAGCCCCACAAGCCCTGCCAGGACCTCTGCAGAACCGCCCTGCTCTGCGCCCTGCGGACCGGCAAGGCCGACGACCCCAGGCTCTGCCCAGAGCACGCCCAAAAGGTGCCCTTCGCCCAGATCCAGGCCTGGTGGAGGCAGCGCCAGCTCTGCTAGGACCCCCCACCTCTGCCCAGAAGCCCCGCAGGAAAGACCGCCTCCTTCCAAGGGAGTTCGTCATGTGGTCAAACAGGATCGGGGCCGCCTCTTAGGGATTCCTGCCCGGCAGGGGGTTGAGCTAGATGACCACCAGGGTGCCCTTGGCTTCCAAGGCTTCTGGACTTTGCCCTAGACTCTCCAGCCCCCCATGCAAGTATTGGGGGAGGGAGTGGCCTGGACTGAGGAACCCCCCCTTTCAAACACTGGAGCTGCCTCCCCACTGGAGGAAACTGATTTACATGAAGGAAATGGGGGGGTCTTCTCTCCCCCCCCGACGCTCTTGCTTTGCCTTGTTAGCTCCCCTCCCCCATCCTGCTGCTGCAGCTGGGTTGGCTTGGGGCCCCCCGAGTCTGCATCGCAGGGAGGATCACAGAATCGTAGAGTTGGAAGGGACCCCTTGTGGTCATCTAGCTGAACCCCGTCTCCCCCCGTCTCTCTTCAGTGGGGCTCGGAGGGGGCTGAGGCCAAAATGAAAGGCCTACAGTCAGGGGGAGAGCAGTGGCTGCTACTCCCAGACTCCCCCCACACACTTTAAACCTAAAGCACATGAGCCCCCCCCCAAGAACCCTGGGAACTGTAGTTCGCCCCCTCCAGAGCTACAACTCCCAGCACCCTCCACCAATTCTCTAAGCACAGAGTTTGTCCGCAGCCCACAGACCCGGAGGATGGGCTGCGCTGCCTGTTTGGGGGCGATGGGTCACCCCCCAGCCTCCCACAAGTTGCCTGCCGGGGGGGCGCTCTCAGGAACTGCTCCTCCAAAGACACCCCTGGCTCTTCCCACCCCCTCCCCCCTCCCCGCTGTTGCCTTTGATGTTTCTTTGAGGGGCTGAGTGGAAGCCCCCCCCCACGATCCTTTCTTCCTGGCCCAGCCTGGGGAAGCATCTCACACAGGATCCCCCAGGACCGCCTTAAGCAGAGTCAGACCCTCAGCAGTGCCGACACGGACTGGCAGCAGCAGCACCCCCAGCGTGGATTTCGGGCAGGAAGCCTCACCCAGCCACACCTGGACATGCCGCCAGCGGGACTTGAACCTGGGACCCTCTTTACCCAAAGCAGATTCTCGGCCGCTGAGCTTTGGCCCTTCCTCATACGCAGGAAACCCGCACTCGTGACCGTCTCCTCGTCTTCCGACTGGGTTGGGGGCTTCCCCCTATTTATATTCACCCCACCCACCTGTGCAATAAATTATTTCTGGCTCTGCCACATCTCTCGTCTGGCTCCAGTCTGTGTCTTTCCCCACCAGGAATGGTGACCCCCACCCTCCCCGTCCAGGCGCTCCTGAAAACAGGCCATGTTCCGGCCAATGGACCCCTGTTACCGGAAAAATCTGAGGGCTCCCTTGGACAAAATAAAGATACCAAGCAGGATAACTTGGAGCAAAACAGCAGCCTGTAGGCTTGGCCTTTATTGAACTGTTGCAACAGGGTGTTCCCCTCACTTGCAGGAGAGAGGAAAGACCCAGAAAGATGGTGTGCAAGACCTTATAAAAACTTTTGAAATTCCCATCCTCTAGGTCAAGCCCACCCCCAGAAACATCATGCATACATTACAGAAAGGAGGGGTTGAGGGAGGAGTTGTGGTGGTAACCTGAGTGTCCTGTCACCTGGCTGGTTCCTCCTTTCCCCCTGCCCATGAGTCACTTCCAGGTGACAGAGGGGACTTGGCAGTTTCCTGCCCCCAGAGGGAAGAGCTGATTATTGTCCTTTGTTCCAGTCTGTGCTGAATCCACTCCCATATGCAAGTTCTTTGTGATCTTGATGGTCTTCTGTCTAGGACCATCAGGGTTGGCATAGCAACTGGGCAGAGCTCCTGTGGATGTGCTGGGATGGTGAAGGAATTATGGCTGACCAGAACCAAGCCACCCCCCTTTGATAGTCCTTGTCATATGGAGTAAAATAAAAATGGAACAGTGCAAATCCGATGTATGGTTGATTTTTCTATGAATTTATAACAGAAGTGTGGCATATGTAGTGTGTGAGTGTGTGAAGTTTGTACAAACTGAATGATTGGGGTGGGGGGTTCCTGCTACACCCCTTGTCCATCTTCCAATCTGGCCCCAAGCGTGGCAGCAGCCCTTCCCCTGCCCCACAGCAGTTCATTGGGGGTCTATTGCTCCTGGCACTGGAGGCTCCCAGAGGCACCACTGGCTCATAGCCAACCTCTCGCACCAAGAGCTGCCTCTTCAGAGCACAGGGAGAGCCTGCGGGATCAGACCCACTGCCCCTCTGGCTCAGCCTCCTCTTCTTCCAGGGGCCCCTTACGGGAAACCCCCGAGCAGGATTCGAACACAAGAGCAACTCCCCCTCCAGAGGCATCGCTGTCTCCCTCCGCGGAGGCCACTGGGGCTGCCGGCCATGGATCACCCTCTCGTCCGCCGTGAAGTCGCCTGATCCTCCTTCAAAGCCATCTCGGTTGGGGGCCGTGGCTGTTCTGTAGTTGAAGGAGCTCTTGATTTCACCTCCCGACATTCTGCCCCCTTGGATGTCCACAAACTCTAGCTTTATGGGTTTCCGGCTGATGTCACGATCCGTGATGGTCAAGCTCTGCTGCCCTCCGGGGCAGGGGAAAGCCAGGATTTATGGGGTAAAAGTCCTGGTAATGCTCCTCAGGGGTTCTGGGAGTTCCCTGCACTCCACGGCGTCGCTTAAGCCCATATCTGCCAATTTGAAAGGCAGATCAGGTGCGACTTGCAAGTGTGTCCTTGCCACGGACAAATCTCCATCTCCAGCATGATTTGTGATTTATTCTTCACTAATTTGGAATACAGCCGTTCCGTGGAAGCCGAACGGAATCCGTTCTGGAAGTCTCTTCAATTTCCAAAACGTTTGAAAATCAAAGCATGGCTTCCAATTGGCTGCCGGAAGCCCCATCAAACATTTGGCTTCCAAAATAGTTCGCAAACTGGAACAGCCACTTCTGGGTTTGCAACATTCGGGAGCCAAAATGTTTGGGAACTAAGCTATTCGACTTCCAAGGTTCAACAGTATTGGCCTTAATTATGAGGCCGTCCTCAAAGGGCATATGATAAAGGGCTGCAACCAATCAGCTGCCGGAAGGACTGGGTTTGGATCTCTGAAGGTATCTGATTTTCAAGAAGCGTGAAAATCCTTACAACAGCCGGGAAGGAAGGGGAGGACAAGACACGCTGCGTTTTCATCTGGTTTCCAAATTGTCTTTTTCTTTCTTATCCCCCCCCGCAAAATGAATGAGCCGTGTGTAGCTATGCTATTCTGTCTGACACCGAGGGAAAGGGGGGGGCATTTCATTTATGCCCAGTTAAGGATTTAACAATGTTTTATTATGCCCTCCCACTTTGACCAAGGTAGAATGCACTTCATTTAAATTATCTTTGGACTGGACCAGGAGTGTAAGAACAATTAAGGGTAAGAAGATGAACGGCTGCTAATTAAATCTGGCAATAGCTTGCATTTGTGAAAAGACGGGGTTTTTTTAACTGCGTGCTGGGGAAGAACCCCAGCGTGGAATTTTAATAACAGAGAGGGGTCATCTTGTTGGAGAGTTATTTATATCCGCAGTCTGCAGAGATCTCAAAGGAATGGAAAGTGACTTTGTAAACATTGCAGAGAACTGGACAAAGGAAGGTGGCAATGATCTGCGAAAACGTTTATGAAGACTACACACGTGAAAAGGATTTTATATTCTTAAAAGTAAGAGAGGTGCTGAATGCAAGGGAACTGGAAAAGTCAGCTGTGAGAATGGGCTAACATCCAGAGAAGGATTAAGAGGAGATTAAAGAAGAATGAAGTGGCAACATCAGGAAGTAATGGACATATGTTTGCAACAGGAGCGGGAAACCTAATTTTCAAAAGAAATTGTGTTAAATTTAAATAATTTGGACAGGTTTGTATGTATTTAGAAAACCAATAAAAAATATAATACAAATTCTAGCCTTACGAGTAGGGCTGGGAGATGCCTGCTTTTCTAGATCGTCATCTGAACCTCAAGATATCACAATACATCGCAATGCCAAGAACGTGGAAAGGCGTCAGTTGCCTCTGCCCTCGGTAGTCAGCCAGGCGGGCAGACGGCGTCACTGTGCTGGGCAGGAGCATCGGCTGGGACAGCACACAGCTCTGCGCACGCCAGCATGGCACCACAGGGCTCTGCCAATGCCCGCGGAGCTGCCAGTCAAGGCTCATGCCAACCATCGCCTCTCCTGGCGCCAGCGGTGACGGAGCACTGGGCAAGGCTCCCTCCTGCCTGGGTGCAGCTCCCACCCACTGCAGTTGCCAGCGTGCGATTACCAGTGACCACAGCACCCAGAGACGGGGAGGTGGAGCCAGGGCCGCTTCCGCCACAGGGGCTCCCGGGACGCAGGCATGCCTCCATTGCGCAGCCTGGCACAAGGGAGGAGGCAGTCCAGTCGCCTGGCCAGAGAGGGCAGCCAAGGCGCAGGCAGGCCCCCCTCACATCTTGGGCCCTGGACGCCAGTGCCTGAGGGGGCCAGCATCGGGCAGCCTTGCGGGGAGCAAGATGAGGAGGTTGCGTGCCAAATGCTGGCAACCCCCAGGAGTGAAGCACAGGGGAGGCGGGCAGGGGTTTGCAATTCTGGAATCGTTATTGAGATCTGAGCTTCAAACCGGTTTGGGGCAATGTATCAATACATCGCCCAGCTCTACTAATTTTGTCAGCTTCTCTCTTGCTGCCACTCCCTCGCCTGAAAAGCGCCAGATTTGAACCTGAACCCTTTACTCACGAGCAAGCCGCTCCGTCCCCTGGGATCCCGGCAGCGCCCTTTCCTGAACCTTCTCCAACTCCAGCTTGACATGAGGCGACCAGAACGGTGCCCAGAACCCCAGATGCAGTCTCACCAGGGATCTCCAGGGGGACATGATCGTGCCGGGGGCCCCCTCCCTCTGCCCCCCCTCACAAGAAGGAGCCACATCAGGGGAACCAAGTTTATTAAGTTTTAGTACAACACAGAGATCTCTTCTTATAGCAGAGACGGCCGGGGCCTCCACTCCCCCCCCCCATGAGGGCCTCCATCCGCTGGGGCCACCCCTGGGGAGACACAGCAATGGTGCAAGTGCCCCCCACTAGGGCAGGGACCCCCAAATAACCCCCAGCCTCCACTTTCATATCCTATTAAAAGCAGCAGCTTAAGATCAGGTGCCCCGACTTGGGGGGGGGATGAGGCCGCAGCTGCCCCCCCGGGAGAGGCACCCTAGATATGTGACCCCCTCGCTCCCCCAGCAGCTCACGTCAGGGAGCCACAGCGTTCCTCTCTCACACTCGCACTCGCGCCTCATAAATACGCACCTCGCACACTCGCTCTCCCCAAGGGGGGTCTGGGGGGACAAGAGCTGCCGGGCTGATGGGGGGGCCGACCTCATCCGACAAGGGCCCCCGTGCGGACCCTCCTGCTGGCCCCCGCAGCGGGCCTGGCAAGGGGGCGCTCACGGCGTCTGGGCCCCCTGGCGCTTGGGCTTGAGGCTCCCCAGCAAGCTCTGCACCCCCTTCCGGACGGTGGAGCCCACGCGGCGCGCCACGGAGTCGGCCGGGGGGGCCGGCAGGCAGGAGCTGGTGGTCTGGGGCCGGGCGTCCAAGCACTTCTGGTAGCGCAGCTGCAAGAGAGGAAGCGGGTGGCAGTCCAACGGCGAGGGGGTGGGCTGGGTGACCCCTGGGGGGCCCTCCAACTCAGCACTTCCAGGATCCGAAGGGGCAGTGAAGGTGGCGGCAGCCGAGCCCCCCCTCCCCCCCAGTCCCTGCCCGCCCAGGACCTCCTGCCCCCCACAGGGCGCATGGCAAAAATGCGGCCAGAGGGTCACTTGTGGGATGTAATGCACTGGAGCAGTCAAGTACAACATTCCTTGTTTTGCTAGAGGGGACATGCAGGGGACGTTGGTCCAGCCAGGCAAACTTCCTGTCACACCTGGCGGGAGCATCCTTCTTTGCGTGTGACCAGGTGGGTCTGGGGTACCCAACCTTTTTTCAAAGAGGGCCAGATTTCATGAAGTGAACAGGTGTGAGGGCCGACCAAAGTTGTTGAGGATTGAAGTTTACCCCAAAGTTGTTAGTTGTTGAGCTTTCTTTAGGATTTTACCCCAGGAAATATACTGCCACGGAGGCTGGATTAAATTGACTGGCAGGCCGGATTAGGCCCCCGAAGCGGACTTTGGACATGCCTAAGGAAGGTGGTGATGACCTTTCCAGACCTGGTCCAAGGCCAAAAGCCCCCTCCCTTATTTTTGGTCCTTGTTCTGCTTCCTGCTCTCAGCCAGTCGCCCCTGGGTTGTCTCCCATATGGGGTAAACCTATTTCTATTTATTAAGTCTTAAGCCTGCCTTCAGGGATCACATTCTGCTCTGCCTGACCGTGAGTCAACTTCTTTTTGTTACTTATGAACCAGACTGGGGTGCCTTTATTCTTTTAGGAGGGGATCAAAGGGATGTTGCCAGGAATAATAGAACTTAAAGAGATTCTAACGCATGGGTAGGCAAACTAAGGCCCGGGGGCCGGATCCGGCCCAATCGCCTTCTAAATCTGGCCCGTGGACAGTCCGGGAATCAGCGTGTTTTTACATGAGTGGAATGTGTGCTTTTATTTAAAATGCATCTCTGGGTTATTTGTGGGGCATAGGAATTCATTCATTTTTTGTCTTCAAAATATAGTCTGGCCCCCCACCAGGTCTGAGGTACAGTGGACCGGCCCCCAGCTGAAAAAGTTTACTGACCCCTGTTCTAACAAATCTGCAACTAGCTTCTTGCTGTGAAATACGGAATACACTCTGCTTAGAGCGAGTTGGGCAGGGTAATATTAATCAATATCTCCTGTCCTGCCACCCACAACATTCCCACAAGCCGTGGACGATGCCAGCTGCTGCCAGACGTGATATGGAGCTATGGGGGGGGTGCAAGGCAGATGTGGGGGGGGGGCACCTACCATGCAGGCAGCCTGGACGGCCTCGCTTAGGCCGGCAGCGTTGGGCTCGCACCAGACCATGTGGCAGCGGAAGTTTCCCGGGGCGGCAGCCATGATGAAGGCGAAGGTGCGGACGTCCCGCCCGATGCCCATGAAGGACAGGAACCGCACTCTGCACTCGCACAGCACCCCCTCCGTCTGGGGAGAAAAGCGGGGGGGGGGGTCAGGCCTTGCCGTCATCCTCCCCCTCCTCCCTGCCCTCCCCCCGGGGACCAGGGGGCACTCACCTGCTGGTGGGTGAGGGTGAGGGTGGCAGGGGCCACGCTGACCTGGGCAGGGGTCCACTGCTCTCTGGCCCCCTCTGCCAGCGCCACGTCCAGGGCGGCATTGAGGACGTCCATGCCTGGGGGGGGAGGCAGGGAGGTTGGCAAGCAGGCCCAGAGCCCCCCAGGCGGGGCAGGCAAGGGCTACACAGCAGCATCCACTGGGGGGGGCACCGAAAAGGATTTCCCACCAGCCCCCCCCAGCTCCCAGAGGAATAACCCCTTGTCCCAAATGGGGATCGAACCTGCAAGCTTCTCCCCATTTTGTGCTCACAGCCCCCCTGCAAGGTCCGCTAGGCTGAGCATGCCCGGCCCTCGAGGTCCCGCCCGGTGAGATTCCCGGTCAACGATTCGAACCCGGGTCTCTCCCTGGTCCTGGCCAGCCCCATGAGACTGGCTCCCCTGCCCCCCCTCCTTACCCACAGGCTTGGCCACGACGACGCTCCCCAAGTAGAAGACCTGGAACCGCTGCACAGATTCGCTTTTGGGGGCTGGAAACTCAACTGGGGGGAGGAGAGCGGAAACGGCCGTGAGAAGCGAAAAAACACACATCTGGGGCACTGGGGGGCAGAAGGCGTGCCTGGAAGTGAGCCTGGGGCACAAGCCGCCTCTGGTGGGCGCAAATGGGGGCTGGGCAAGGACCCCCCCCAGGGTCCCCTCTGCCCAACAGGTGCCAATTTGGCTGGGGGGGCACAGCTCCTTGACCCCCCAAAGGCGTCCTGGGCAAATCCATTTGACATCAACTGCAGGGGAGACTCGGGGTTCCTTTTAGGGTGGAAGGTTTGTCTGTGCGAGATTTTGGGATTTAATTTTGGCGGAAGCAGAACCAGGGCTTGTTCTTCCAAATTAAGCCTGCTGGATCTTTCTGGGGATGCCAACACAGGTGTCCAAGGCATTGGCCTCATCCTGGCAGCACAGACTTGGAATAGGGTTGCCAAACATCCCTATTTTCCTGGGCATTTCCTCTTTGTCAAAGGTAAAAATCACCATCCGGGTGGATTTTTTAAAATTTTGCAAACTATCATGGCCTTTATTTTCATTTTTGGTCGCCTTTCTCCTTCCTGGGGCTGCTCAGCCTGGCCTTGTCTGGGGATCCAGCGTCTCGTGAGCAAGGAGGCCGCAGGCAGCCAAGGGAAGGAGGGGGGAGCGACAGAGACACAGGATTGCGGGGGAGGGGGTGCCCTGAATTGATCTCACAAAATGTTGGAGGGTATGTCATTTTCGTTTTTAATAACCATTTCTAAATATTTCAATACACTTGTTATCTTTTACCGCACGCACACACAATCAATACTATTTTTCTTTTCTCCCCCACCTACAAAAGTGTCTCTTTTTTGCTCTTCGGAATATGGCCGCCACCCTGACTTGTATCCCAAAAGGAACCAGCCCCAAATCGGACCATTGCTCACTCTGCAAAAGAGCTGTCCTGGAGAAAATTTGACGCTTCAGTGAGGACTAGAACCTCCAGGTACTTTTTATAGGATTCCTTCGTGACATATACCGTATTTTCCCATGTATAAGACGTCCCCATGTATAAGACGACCCCTATTTTTTGACCCCAAAATTTAGAAATAAATAATTGCAACATTCCATGTATAAGACGACCTCCAATTTCAAACTTAAAAAATTAGGGGGGGGGGATATAGTCTTATACACGGAAAAATACAGTGTGTTTCCAAGGCAACCCTTTTTCCCAAGCCTGGGGAACCCGGAACCAGACGTGGTAAATCAGAGAAGACTGATATTCTTTAGCAGGACTCTGCTATTTTCACCCAAATGCAACCGGACCCATTTGGCGTGTCTATTTTGAACTTTTTCGTCTTTTAATGTTCATCTGCTGTTATAACTGTTCTCTGTTCTTTATATATTATAAAATGAAAACGGTGGCCAGAATACTCCCCCTGGCCTGTCCCCCCCCCATCCCCAAAGCTACCTTGGAAGGGGATGTCCACCATCTTGGAGTGGTCGAGGGACAGCCCGTTCAGGGGGGGCCGGGCGTTCCGCCGCTCCGTCATGATCTAGAATGGCAGAACAATTGCAGGGTTCAAAGGGGTCCCGTGGGTCATCTAGCCCAACCCGCAACAATGCAGGAATCGCAGAGCAAAAGGAGGGTCAGCAGGGGGGACCTGAACGCAGATTCCCCCCCCCAGCGCTGCATGAAGGAAGAGCAGCAGAAAACCCCTTCGGGGGCACAGAGCTGAAGCCCACCCCCACCCCCCGGCCACCTGGCTTGCTTGGCAATGAGGTCTAGAAACCTGCTTTTTGCATTTTAAAGGAGGAAGCGGAGCCTCGGAGCGCTAAGTTCTGCCAGGTCCTGGGCTTTTCCTGCAGGAGCTCTGGGGGGGGGGGCAAGGGTGATTCCTCCGCCCCCCCCCCCGACCCACATGCCCTTCCTCGGGGGTGGGGTCCCATGAGCAGGGATCCATCACCATACAGCCCCCCTGCCATGAATCCTGGGCTGCTTCCTAAGCCCTGTCCGGGGGGGGGCTCTTGCTCTGGAGCTAAAGGGGGTGGGTATCATGGGGGGGTTCAGGCGTCACCTTGGAGCAGATCTCGTGGAGTCCGGTGGCAATGTCCTTGGCTGGGGAGTCGCAGCGGAAGACATGGCACTTCAGCATCTGGGCCAGCTGGTCCCGGGCCACGTAAGCAAAATCCCTGGGGGGGGACACACACACACACAGTGGGGGGGTTCTTATTTATCACGTCTCTCATTCGCTTTGCGCCAAAAGAGTCTCAAAGTCCCTTGACATTACGAAACACAACCAGTTAAAAATTAGAATGCCCCCCCCCGAAAGCACACTCATGAATGGGCATGGAGGGAAGTTTCCCCCTGGCGAGCCTCTCTGGGGAGAGTATTCTGCAAGGGGGCACCACAGAGAAGGCCCTGTTCTTGTGGCGCCTCTTGGGGGTAAAGATGGCAGCACAGGGGGGGGCCCTCTGCCTTTCCCAATGAGGTTGCCCCCACCCCCTGGCAAAGCAGGGTGCTCCCCCCACCCCCATAAAAAAGGATCCCTTTCAAAGATGAGCAGGCAGGGGTCAAGGGGGGCTGCCACTTTCAACTGTTCACAATGCAATGTTTTTTGGGGTGGGGGTGAGAAGAGGGGTGCTCACGAAGAACTGAAAGGAAGGGGTGTTTTCTGGGCAGAGCTACCTACCTCTCCCTGGATCCCCAAGGGGAGCGAGTGCGAAAGAGAAGAGAGCAGTCAGAGTTAGGTAGGTGGGGGGGCAGACTCTGGAGGCAGTGGGGCAGCCCCACCCCCTTCCCCTCCCTCCCTTGCAGTGGGGTGGGCTATAGGACCCTCAGGGCCCCCTTCTAGGATCCCATGCCCAAGCAGCTGGCCGGCCAACTTGGGGGCCAGAGGAAAGGGGACCCCTCCCAGCCCCCAGCCCCCTCCCCACAGGGGGCCCCCCTACCTTCCGCTGTCCCTCCCGACCCCCCAGACGCGGATGGTGACGACTGGCTGGCTGTGCAGGACCAGCTGCTCCTCAGGGTCCAGCAGCTTCAGGGTCTCATTCTCCAAGACCAGGAGCATCGCCTTGCCCTGCGGGGAGGGGGGAGGGGGGTCACAGCTGCACAGAGGCCCCTTCCCCAACAGGAACCCCCCCTGCAGCCGTACAGGCATTGTGGGCAGAGGAGGGGGCACCCAAGACTCATCCAAACCACCCCTCTTCTCCTCCGCCCGGTGAAGGCTGCCCCCGCCCACATTTGCAGCCCTAGGGATCTCCCCCCCCTCAGCAGGACTCACCTCCTCCCAGGAGCCCCCCAGGTCCGGGTTCTGCCCCGCCAGCTGCCGGATGCAGTTGTTGACGGCCACGCTACTCCTGCCCAGGGTCAGCTCCTCCTCGGACATCTCCACCCAGCCCAGGGAGCGGACCGAGAAGCACTGGGGGGGACAGAGGCAAGCTGGGTCAGGTGGGCCCCCCCCAGGGAAGTCTCCCAGCCCAGGGCAGCAACTTGGGCCCCAGATTATGGGAGCCCAGTGACATCCAAGAGGTAACATGATGTCATGGCATTGTGACATCATCCCCTGGTGACAGGGGAGCCCTTGGGGGTCACATTGGCGGCCTGACAAGACCTCCGACGTGACTTCCAGTTTCTCCTCTTCAGTTTTTACAAATAACTTTCACACTCAAATATAATTAATTTTATACATAAACAGGATTCTCTGAATCCTTCGACTTCCCTCTGCCCCCCCCAAGATTTCCAATCAGTGCCTGATTTATGTATAAGCTAAACAAGCTATAGTTTAGGGGCCCCCTCTCTTGGGGGTCCCCCCAAAATATACATCTTCGTAATTGTATTTCTGTTCAGCAATTCCTTTGATAAAATACATATTTTGTTCTGCACAAATGGCTTGAGATACCTATTAGGTCCCTAAATTACCATCTAGCATATATTCAACACAAAAAACAGCGGCAATTTGTTGTTGACAAAGGACAGCTGGACATAGAAAGGGCCCCATTCCCTTCCGGAGCTGAGAGCCACATCAAACCAAAATCCGGCCCTGTTTCCATAGTATTACATTATACACTGCATCTTATATTATTCTTCAAATTTCCATTTATAACCCCAGAATTATTACCTTACAAGTGTTATATTAATCCTGCTAACTGAGTACAGTGATCCCTAAGATAATCTATAAATTTCCCCCATTCCTTAATAAATCTCTTATCTTCTTGGTTTCTGATTCTCCCTGCCCATTTTGCCCTTTCGGCAGAGTAGAGTCCATCATCTGGACGATTCATTCTTCTCTGCTTGCAACCTTGTCCTCCTTTCATGGAAGGAAGACAAGGCGACTTCCAGTTTCTACCGGAAGCTGCTTCCGAGGCTCAGGCAGAAGCTGCGTTGGAGCCCTGGCCTGTGGGGGCTCTGGCACTGGCCCCCAGGACCCCCGAGAGGTGCCCCCATTGCCCCAACTTCTCCCAAACCTGAGACCAGGGCTATCTTAAGGATATGCGGCGCCGGGGTGCAAAGATCTGCCCACACCCTCCCCCAAGTTGCCCAGAGTTGTTAACCTTTTTTTAGGGGGGAACCCCAAAGTTGTTGACACGGCAGAGCTGCCCTGGCCAGCCACCTCACCACCATCAACAGAGGAGCCCGAGGCAGTGGTGGCGGTGGGCCGGGCACCTGGGGGGGCAGCAAGCAGAGCCCAGTGCAAAAACAAAAGTCGAGCCCAAGGCGGAAGTGGCAGCAACTGAGCGAAGCCGGGCGCCTCGTGGGGGGCCTTTCAACAGCCCACCAATCCCAGGCACACAGGAGGACGGAGCCAGCCGGCTGCCTCAGTGCCTTGCTTGCCCACAGCAGAAGAGCTGCGGTGCTCCGATGGACTCTGCTCCACTCGGCAGCAGCTGTCGGCTCTTCCCAATCCCCAGACTCCAAATCTCGGCCTCAGACTCTCGGCCTGGCGCCCCTGAGAGCCGGGCGCCCGGGTGCCCCGCACCCCTAGTGCCTATGGGTAAGACAGCCTGAGTATATTAAGGATTTGTTTAAAGGTGATAAAATGGAAACTTAATAACTATTTTTTAAAGAAATTGTCTGGTTTTATGTTGGCCTGCTGCAGCTGGTGTCCCCCCCCCCCCTTAGTGCCATAGGAAGAGAGGGGCCCCCTTTCCTCTTCCCACCCCCAAATGCCCTAAGGCCAAGAGCAGACCCTTCCCCGTCCCATGGCTGGGATCCCCCCCCCCCGGCAAGCCCACCTTACCTTGGACCCCTGGGAGACGCCCAGGAACTGCTCCTCTTCCTCGCCCCCCTCTTCCAGGGAAGACCTGGGGAAAGGAAGCGGCAAAGTCAGGGTCACAGTTGGCGCCAGAGGCGGCAGAGGACACGGCAGGCTTCCTTGGGGCATGTGCAGAGAGCCTTTCGTTGACCGGGGAGCAATGGAGCCCAGACACACAGGGAAAGCAGCTGCCTGAACTGGACCTCCAAGTCCCTTGGAAAGTGGGGGGAGAAGGAGCTGCCGGAGCCCAGAGCAGCCGGGGGGGAGTTTGCCACAGGCCAGACCCCCCGACTGCACCCCATTTTGCAAGGAAGGAGCCTCAGTCCCCGTTGGGAGTTGCGTCCCATAGACCAGGGGTCCAGAAAGTGGGGGTAAGATTACTTGGGGGGAGCTGAGGAAGGGGGGCTCTGGAGACATAAATGGCTCTCGGTCTTTGAAAAGCCGGCATCCCTGGGTCAAGTTCGTCCATTTGGCTTAATTAAACTGAATCGTTTAAATTTGATTCTACAGTGGTCCCTTGGTTCTCAAAGGCCTTGGTACTGAAACAACTTGGAACCCAAACACTGCAAACCCGGAAGTAAGTGTTCCAGTTTGCAAACTTTTTTCAGAAGCCGAACGTGCTCCGTTTTGAGTGTTACGCTGAGGTCTGTCTGTTTTTGCTATTTATTTTGCATTTTCGTGGCTCTTTTTTGCTTTGTTTTTGTGACTGTGTGGAACCCAGTTCAGCTACTGATTGACTGATTGTGTGACTGCGGTATATTGTTTATTGCTTTCATTTTTCATTTTATCTATCTCGTTAGATAGAAAAAAATCATGTTAAATTGCTGTTTTAGGGCTTGTTTTTAAAAGTATTCATTTTGCATTACAGAGGTACCTCTAGATACGAATTTAATTCGTTCCGGGGGTCTATGCACACCCTGAAAAATCTGTATCCAGAGGCGCCACTTCTGCGCTTGTGTGTGGCATGTAAAGTGCTTCTGCGCATTCGCGCGGAGCGAAACCTGGAAAAATACCGTATTTTTTGCTCTATAAGACTCACATTTCCCTCCTAAAAGTAAGGGGAAATGTGTCTGCGTCTTATGGAGCGAATGCAGGCTGCGCAGCTATCCCAGAAGCCAGAACAGCAAGAAGGATTTCTGCTTTCACTGCGCAGCGATCCCTCTTGCTGTTCTGGCTTCTGAGATTCAGAATGTTTTTTTCTTGTTTTCCTCCTCCAAAAACTAGGTGCGTCTTGTGGTCTGGTGCGTCTTATAGAGCAAAAAATACGGTACTTCCTGGTTTGCCACGTTCGTAACCTGAAGGTTACATTTCCAGAGAGGTACGTAACCCGAGGTTCCACTGTACTTTCTATGGGAAAGCGCATCTTGGTTTTGGAACGGACTTCCGAAACGGATCAAGTTTGAGAACCAAGGTCCCACTGCATATAGATGCGCACTCAATTGTCCCTGTTCTGAATCGTGTCGCTTTATCGTCCTTCTTAGTGGGTCGTGCAAACAGTGAATCTTCCCTCCTGGGGGGCCCCCCTTCCCGCCCCACTCACCAGTTGCTGGGGGACCCCAAGCACAAGCCAAGCGTGCCCTTCTTGTCCTCCTGGGGCTCTGGGACCCCCTCTTCTGACGGGACGTCCTGCCGAGAGCACAGCGGAAAGGGGACACCGTGAGAAAGGAGCCCCCAGGTCAGCCCCACCCCTCCCTCACCCCTCGGCCCCCATCCAGCCTCTCACCTTCCAGAAGGCAGCGGCTTCCTCCGAGGGCTCAGCCTGCCCAAACTCCATCCAGGTGAGCTGCAAAGGTGCAGGGGGGGTCAGGTGAGGAAGAACAGCCCCTCTCTGCCCCTCTTTGCTCAGCACAAGCAAAGGGAGGGGTCTATGGGGCTGCCCCACCACTGGCAGGTGAGTTTACTTGCTCCCCCCCCAAAGAAGTTCTCAAACATCCTTGAGAGGGCTGAGAATTACTCTAAGATACAGATATGTTAGACCTGGAAGGACGTGATAATAGGTTTGGTTAGCATGCGTGTCTATGGTATAATAAAGGGAAAGTACCATATTTTTCCGTGTATAAGTCTAGGGGTTTTTTTTACAAAAAAATTAGGTTTAAAATTGGGGCTCGTCTTATACACGGGTAGTGCTGAGCCAGTGTTTTCTTAATTTGGAGCCCCCCCAAATAGGGAGCGTCTTATACACAGAAAAATACAGTACATAAAGAATTCCATAATCATTTAATTAGGAGATCACTTTTTAAAGTATGGGGAAAACACAAAGGTTTATTAGAACAAAAGACGGTTGTCTCCAACAGAAGCAACCTCAATTAGAAAAACAAATAGGGAAGAAAAATGGCGACATCTAGAGGTCTGTTAACAGAAACAGAGGGGAAATTAACGCTGAAGGATCTTGAAGAGATGAGCAATTATGTACATGATGGGTTGCAATATTGTCAATTAAATGAAGAAAATAAAAAGAAAGGATTTCGCTATATTTTATCCAGATTCCAAGGGGAAATTATAGGAGATAATACTAAATTGTTGGAGAAGATGTATAATTATTACTAGAGTGGGAAACCAAGGATGAAGAGGTTAAATGAGTATTGATTAAGTGGGCACAAAATTTATTGTGGCGAATATATAATTGTAAAACTTAATAAAAATTAATTTTTTAAAAAAGGTTTTATAGTTTTATAGACTACTTTTTAGAGACTGTGGTTGGGGTTTGGTGGGGAGTCATTTAACTGCCCCCCCCCCCCGTTCCTGGTTTCAACAGATGTCAAATGGTAAAAGTGAAAATGAACAAAAGGAACTTTTAAAAAGAAGAAGAGAGAACGACTCTGCGAGGTGCAGAGTTTGGGTGTTGGCCTGTCAGGGCTGCTTCAGCTGTCATCCCTGCATTGCTGGGGTGAGACTAGAGGACCTTTGGGGGTCCCTTTGGCAGATCTCCGCTTTTACAGAAGCAGCCCAGAGCAAGTGCAGCACAAAGGAAGTCCCCAAAGTCCCCTCAATTTACCATCAACATAATCATAACTTTCTTATTTATAGGCCACCCATCCGTCTGGGTTTCCCACCCACTCCCAAGAGAATATTAAAAGCTCAATTAAACACCAGCCACGCAGAGCTGCCCTCTTTGGGTCTCCTGCCAGGGGAGGGCCAGCATTAAGCATTTTCTCTTAATTAAAGCTTCTGTTTGGCGTTTGATTTTGATTTTCCTCTGGTTTATGTGGTGAGAAATTGCTTTTCTCAAAAAAAAAAACACACCAGCCAACCCCATCCACACAGCCCAGGGCTGCACAGGGACTGTGGGCATATTGTCCTGCTCTTTTGATTTACTTATTTAGTTCCTCTTGTCCTGTGTTTTATTCTGCCAGCTGCCCTGAGACCTCACAATGAAGGCTGGTGTACAAATCTAACAAATAAATACGTAACATTGAAAGGGGTTTTAGAAACGGCTCGAGCCCAGAATTGGCAGGCCTCCCGAGAAGGAGGGCCATTGACGGAAAGTGCGGCGTAAGGCGTAACTCTAACGTCTCACCACAAATCAAACTGATCCGTAGAAAACGCAACGTGGAAAAAGAGACAATGCGCGTATTTTTGTAAACTAAATCTTTCATACAAATATATTTTATGAGAAGAAAAAGTGTCACAAGAGAGTTCCTATACCCCTTAGGAATTATAATTATAATTATTTTTTATTTATTATTTTATCTCATATTTATTAAAATTGTAAGCTGCCCTAGACCTGCAGTGCTTAAACTGAGCCTGTGAAAGAGCTCAGGGACGGATTTACGTCTAAGCCAAACAAGCAATAGCTTAGGGCCAAACTCTCTTGGCAGGGGTGAAGGAAGGAGAACCGGCCCCCAGTGCAGGATGTTGGGGCAAACCGCCCGGCGCACATGCATGCGCACCACTACATACGGCGCATGCACGTACTGCTACATGTCATGCATGTGTGTGCCGTACAGACGGTGGCGGGATCCTCTGCTTGCGGCGGTGGCAGAGGGATCCTGCCGCTGTCCGTAAGGCACTCGTGCAGCACCACGCATGCGCCGTACATACAGCGTATGCACATGCGCCGCCAGGTGGTTTGCCGACAGCAATGCTCAAGCGCCATACAGGCTGTGGTGGAGGGTGCAGCCATGAGCAGAGGATCCTCCGCATGCGGCGGCGGCGGTGCGAGTCCCCCTCGGGGTGCCTTCTTGTCACCCCTTCAGAGATGGCACCCGGGGAGGACTGCCCCCCTTCCTCCGCCACTGACTCTTGGGGGCCCCCAAAAGATTAAAGGGAGAAAAAACTGGATGTCCAAAATATAAGATGAAAAACCAATAAAATAAAACCTACATGCAGCAACTGTGTTTTGTGTTGTATGGCTCCTAGGATGTAAGTCGGGCATGTCCAAAGTCCGTTTCAGGGGCCTAATTCGGCCCCTGTGGAAGTTTATTTCCTGGGGCTAAAAGCCTCAAAAAAACCTCAACAACTTCAACTTTAACAACTCATGGTCCTTCACTTCATCAAATAATCTGGCCCTCTTTGAAAAAGGTTTGGACACCACTGATGTAAGTCATGAGCCCCGCCTGCTCGCCTGCTCCCTCAAATAGCACCGCTTTGCTCAATTCTATATCAATTACTTTGATAAAATACTGTATTTTTCGCTCTATAAGACGCACCTGACCATAAGACGCACCTAGTTTTAGAGGGGGAGAACAAGAAAAAAAAATTCTCTTCCTCTCTGCGCAGCGCCCCTTCAGCGAAGCGGCAGGAGAAACGGAGCCCCTTCCATTTCTCCTCCTGCTTCGCTGAAGGGGCGCTGCGCAGAGGGGGAAAGCTGCACAGCACCTCCCCAGCGAAGCGAAGCCAGGAGAGCAAGAGGGGTCAGTGCGCACCGACCCCTCTCGCTCTCCAGGCTTCAGAGAAAGCAACGCAAAGCCTCCGGAGCGCAGCGGCTTCCTGTTGCTTTCGCTGAAGCCATGGAGCCTGCATTCGCTCCATAAGACGCACACAAATTTCCCCTTACTTTTTTGGAGGGGAAAGGTGCGTCTTATAGAGCGAAAAATACGGTACATCTTTTGTGATGTGCAAATGGCTTGAGATCCCTGTGAGGTCCAGCAATGGCCATCGAGCAAATATTCAACACAAAAAACAGCGACCATTTCTTGTGGGCAAAGGAGAGCTGGACACGGAAAGGGCCCCCTTCCCTTCCAGAGCTGAGGGCCGCCTCCAAGCCCTGTCCGGCCCCGGCTGGTCTTCTGCTCCAGACTCCTCCTCACCTGCCTCTCCTTGGAGGGGGTGTTTCCCGGGGAGTCGCTGCCCCCGCCCCCCGAGGGGGGCTCCCACTGGGTGGTGCCGGTCGGGATGTGCCAGTAATAGGTCCCGGACGTGTCTTGAACCCGCATCCATCCGGCTGGGAGGTCGGAGTCCGTCTCCAGCGAGTTGCACAGCCAGAAGGAGTCTGCGGAGAGAGAGGGGTGAGTCAGCTCTGGGGGGCATTTCTGCGAGGCATATTAGAGTAAGATATACCCAAAGACAAGAAAATTTTATTTATTCAACGTGGAAGGTACTGTGTCATTAAATTTCAAAAGAAAGGTTTGGACAACAGGCCAGATTAGAAGATTGGAATGGGGTCAGGAAAGCTGCGCTGGCAAACAGACAGTTGGAAAAATATATATATACACAAAGAAAGCAGTATTCGACGGACGAAAGGATATATGATTTATGACATGATTGAGAATTGTAGAGCCAGCGACAGAGAACTTTAATGCATTAAAATCGGGATGTGGAAAATATGAAAACAACAAGGAGAGGCAGGACTGAAGATTTGGAGATATGCTTCAGAGGTCCAGACTATGGGGAGCCCCAAAAAATTAATAATTATAATTTGGATTACAATTTGGTCTTTTTTTATTTTATTTTCTTGTTTTAGTTGGATTATGATATGATGATTGGCTGTTTTTTATTGGAAAATTAATAAAAATGATTAAAAAAAAAAAAAAGAAATTATTTATTTATGTGTGCAACAACAGCGGCTAGAATCTTATTAGCCCAAAGACGGAAAAGTGATGAAATACCATTGAAAGAACATTGGTAAGAAAAGTTTATGGAAGACGCGGAAATGGCAAAGTTAAGGGAGAGACTCAAAGAGAAGGACAAGAATGACTTCAAAAAAGATTGAGAACCTTTTATGATGTATATGCAAAAACGATGCATTGAAAAAAAATCACTTGCAGGATTTGAGTAATACACTTACAATAGAAAATATAAATATGATTTTTTTAAAAAGGTATATCAAAGTATAAGCAGAAGAAATACAGTGGTACCTCGCAAGACGAATGCCTCGCAAGACAAAAAAACTCGCAAGACGAAAGAGTTTTTGGTTTTTTGAGTTGCTTCGCAAGACAAATTTCCCTATGGGCTTGCTTCGCAAGACGAAAACGTCTTGCAAGTTTGTTTCCTTTTTCTTAAAACCGTTACAGTAATACAGGGTGCATTGCTTGAAGAGGTACAGTTGCGACTTGACTTCAAGGAGCAACTCATAGCACGCGGTGTGGTAGCCTTTTTTGAGGTTTTTGAAGGCTTTTTTTGAAAAAATGGAAACCGTGCTTCGCAAGACGAAAAAACTCGCAGAACGAATTAATTTCGTCTTGCGAGGCACCACTGTAAATATGTTCTAAACCAGGGAAGGAGGTTGGGGGAAGTCATGGGGGCGGGCTTAATTGAAATTGTAAAATGTAATTTGAACTTTGATTATGTTAAAATTTCTTCAATAAAGTTTTTTTTAAAAAAAAGGAAAGGGGGCCGCCTGCCCCCACCTGCCCCACCCAAAACGGAGGCAGTGCACTGGAGTGAAGCAGCCAGGGGGGAGGGCAGGACGGGGGGAGGGCAGATAGAACCCCCACCCCAATCCCTGGGATCTGGCCCCCTCGGCCTCCCAGCCGCCTGCCAGCCAATCTCCACCCCACAGGGAAGGGGTCAGGGAATGGCAGAGCCAGAGGGCACCCCGGGGTCATCGTCCAACCCCCTGCAAGGCAGGACTCCCAAAGGCTGGGCAGCTGATCTGTCCCGGTTTCTCAAGCTGAGATTCCCGCATCGCCTGGGGTTGGACTGGATGACCACTGGGGTCCCTTCTGACTCTGCAATTCTATGATGAGCTCATATCTAGAGCCACAGCGCTGGAGTTTGTTTTCTCTTCCAATAAGTGCTTTTTTCTGTTAAAAAAATGTTTAGGGGTACTCCTTCAAGGGCAGCCCCGCCTAGAGCGGATTACAGTAGTCAAGCCTGGAGGTGACCATCACATGGATCACTGTGGCCAGTTTGGGGCGGCAAAGGTAAGGGACCAACTGCTTGATGCGGCGAAGGTGGAAAAATGTCGCCTTGGCTGTTGCTCTAACCTCCGCCTCCATGGAAAGGGAGGCGTCAAGAATGCTGCGGCGAGACTCCTTACGGGGTCCTCGCTGCAGGATCACATTCACCCAGTGCTTTTCCAGCTGCACTGGCTCCCAGTGGAGTACAGGATTAAGTTTAAGGTGCTGGTTTTAACTTTTAAAGCCCTTCACGGCCTAGGACCCTCGTACCTATGGGATCGCCTCTCCTGGTATGTCCCATGGAGGACCTTACAGTCTTCAAATAAAAACATATTGGAGATCCCGGGCCACAGGGAGGTTAGGCTGGCCTCGACCAGAGACGGGGCTTTTTCGGCCGTGGCCCCATCTGGTGGAACGCTCTGTCACAAGAGACTAGGGCCCTGCGGGACTTGACATCTTTCCGCAGGGCCTGCAAGACAGAGCTGTTCCACCAGGCCTTTGGCCAAGGCACAGCCTGACCCCTTATATGGGATTTGGTATATAAATCTTCCCTTGGCTTTTTTGCTGGCCCACGCAGGACCAGCATGGATAGCTGCCTCGGGTGAATATCTAATGTTTCCTCCCTTTATGGTCTTGATTTATGGGATACTACTAAAATGAGGCTGCATTTTAAGCCGTATTTTAATTAACTGTTGTTGTTTTTTCCTATTACGTTTTATTGTAATTTACTGTATTTTTTGCTCTATAAGACTCACCTTTTCCCTCCTAAGAAGTAAGGGGAAATGTGTGTGCGTCTTATGGAGCGAATGCAGGCTGCACAGCTATCCCAGAAGCCAGAACAGCAAGAGGGATCGTTGCTTTCGCTGCGCAGCGATCCCTCTTGCTGTTCTGGCTTCTGGGATTCAGAATATTTTTTTTCTTGTTTTCCTCCTCCAAAAACTAGGTGCGTCTTATGGACTGGTGCGTCTTATAGAGCGAAAAATATGGTATATTTGGTGTTAGCTGCCCTTGGGGGTTAGCTCCCTGGCCGGGGAGGGTGGGGTGGGGTGGGGTATAAATAAAAAAATATTATTATTATTATTATTATTATTATTATTATTAATCTATTCTGTAGGTCTGTTTCAAAACGAAAGTGTTCCAAAACTAAGACATACTTTCCCATAGAAAGGAATGCAAAATGAATTAATCTGTTCCAGACTTTTAAAAACAACCCCTATAACAGCAATTTAACATGAATTGTACTATCTAACGAGACCCTTGATCCCTAAAATGAAAGCAATAATCAATGTACTGTAGTATAAAAAAGAAAACAAGACAGTATTGTAGATGATAAAAATTAAAATTAATTTTTCATCTGCTCTGATGATAGTCATTGTTTGGATGGGGGGTTTTGAAACATTTCTGCAGTCATGCAATCCATCAATCAGTAGCTGAACTGGGTTCCGCACAGTCGCAAAAACAAATTAAACTAAAAAGCCTCGGAAACAAAAATACAACATAAATAACAAAAAAGAAAAGCACCAAACTTAATCCGTCCCAGAAGTCCATTTGACATCCGAAATGTTCGGAGACCAAGGTGCGGCTTCTGATTGGTGCAGGCGCCCCGGAAACAACAGCCGACAGCTGCGTCGGACGTTTGGCTTCCAAAAAACGTTCAAAAAACTTCTGGGTTTTGGAGTTTGGGAACCAAGGTGCCACTGCAGTGAAATACTGCCCCTCAACGAGGCCAAACGTAGATGCACAAAATCTTTCGGGGGAAACGTTCCAGGAAAAAAGGACTGCTTCCGACTTTCTGCCTGCTTCCCCCTACCTTTAATTCCTAATAAAGTCCCTTCCTTTGACCGCCAGAGAGCGAGTAGTTGCCAACTTTTTTGGGGGTGGGGAGGCAGATGTTTTAAATTTGGGTACAAGCACAGAACTAAGCTTGAGCTGTGATTCCCCTCTTATTGGGGGAGTTGGACTAGATGACCCCTGGGTCCTGGGGGAGCAGTGCCTGCTTCTCTAGGGCAGGGAGGTCCCAAGGAGTCTCCCCGCCTGCCTTGCCCCCCTCCCCACAGGCCTGCAAATTGGGCCTCCCCCCGCCTGCCAGCCAGTCCCCCCCCCGGAGCCCCCTCCCCACCGCTCACCCTGGCTGGGGCTCCGCATGGCTCCTGTCCCCGCTGGGGGGCTGCATCCAGCTCCAACGCCTGCTCCCTTTGCGCCCCGGAGGGCGGGTGTCGCCGGCTGCCCCCCCCCCGCCTGCTCCTGGGCGGGTGTCCCAAGGCACCCACTGACATCACGGCTGCCAAGGCAAGAAGCGTCGCCAAGGCACCCTGCTCCCGGGGGGGGGGGGGAGGACAACAGCCAGATGCCAGGCAGCGGGGGGGGGGCGTGAAGCAGCAAAAGCCTCTGGCTCAGAGCTGAGCTCTGCCCCTCCCCCAAGACCAAGGAAGCAGGGAGTCCAGCGGCAGCCCCCTGCCCGTCCCCCACTGTAGGGGTGCAAATATCCAGAGTGTGGGGGTCAGGTGGGATTGCTATGAGGAATTATGAAAAATGAAGCACGCCACTGTGTCCGCGATGGAAGCATCGCATTGACTGGGTTTGATTCATTGACAATAATTTCTGATCAAATCCCACAAGCCTCTCCACCTCTGCCCATTTTCTCTACTGTTCCATTTTCTACGCCTGACAGGCACATATAAGCATTCTAAACACAGGCCAGTTGCTTCCCTGGGCATCCTCAGTACATAAAGATAGTAGGTTACTTTGATGTGGTTTAATCATAGAATCATAGAATCATAGAGTTGGAAGAGACCACAAGGGCCATTGAGTCCAACCCCCTGCCAAGCAGGAAACACCATCAGAGCACTCCTGATATATGGTTGTCAAGCCTCTGCTTAAAGACCTCCAAAGAAGGAGACTCCACCACACTCCTTGGCAGCAAATTCCACTGTCAAACAGCTCTTACTGTCAGGAAGTTCTTCCTAAGGTTTAGGTGGAATCTTCTTTCTTTAGATAGATCTTTAGATAGATCTTAAAGGCCAAGAAGAGAGTTCACAAGGAGATGGTGAATTCTGCCATCCTGCCTCTCCTGTTTACCACCTCCGGGGTTTTGCTGAAAGCATTCCTCCTTTTATTTCTGTTTTATTGACTCTGAACTACAGATGCATGCTCAAGTAGGAAATAGTTTCTTTGTGGTTAAAAGAATTTCTTCTGATCTGACTTTGTCCCACGTGGGGTTTTGAAATGCTCAGAGGGAGTCTGATTGGTTCTTACAAACACGGTGTAAAAAGTTCTTTTGTGAATAAAACGACCTGGGCCGAGGGGGGGAGAGGATTATTATTATTGACACTCCTCCCAGAGTCTCACTGGTCAAGCCTCGTGTGTATTCTAGTAATCAGAGTCCAATCCTTCCTTGCTTTGGGAATGCTACACCCCACCCCATGGAAAAATAGAGATAAGGAGCTGGAGGGGGAATCAGGGGGCCCCAGTGGGCAAGCCCCCCCCTCGCTGCCTTGGCATCAACTTGGGCCTGGCTGTGGCCATGAGAGACCCCTCCTCCCTCTCCCCACCGTGCTCAGATCAGAGCCCCCTCCTCACTCCCTTTGAGCTGCCCTTGGAGCCAGCCACCATCTCTTAGCCTAGCCTATCTCACTGGGCTGTTGTTCTTATTTATTAAATTCCCATTTACATCTAAATTTGGATTTAAATCCATTTGTTGTTGCGAGGAGGAAACCAGGAGGAGAACCACGTACAGTGGATGCTCAGGTTGCGAATGTGATCCATGTGGGATGCACATTCGCAACCCGCAGCATCCGCAACCTGCAGCGACGCATCTGCACATGCGCAGGTTGCGATTCGGTGCTTCTGCGCATGTGTAAAGTGCAATTTAGCACTTCTGCGCATGTGTGGCTGCTGAAACCCAGAAGTAACCTGCTCTGGTACTTCTGGGTTTCGGCAGTCCGTAACCCGAAGAAACGCAATTTGAAGCATCTATAACCTGAGGTATGACTGTACTTGAGTGCCTTGAGAAAAAGACAGTATATAAATATTTTTTAAAACCATAGAAGGGATCCCGAGGGTCATCCAGTCTAACCCCCTGCAAGGCAGGAATCTTTCGAACCCACGACCCTGAGCCCTCCCCTCCTGGGCATCTCCTGCCAGTCAGAGTGGGCAGTAGGGAGCCGTCCCGCCTGCCTTGGCACGGCCGGGGTCCGGCTTCAGGAACCCCCAGGCCCCTTCTGGGTCTCCAGCGGGGGGCCCTTGGCCCTTGGCCCCCTACCTGCTTCGTCGGGGGAGCTGCCGGCGGGGCTGCCCTGGCTGAGGGTGGCCCAGCTGGAGTCCTCGTCGCTGGCGGTGCTGTGGCGCATGCCAAAGAGGAGGCTGGCGCTGCGGCCCTGATCCCCCCGCGGAGGAGCCCTCTCTGAGCTCTGCTCCTCCGACTCGGTGGCCGGCTCGCTCTGGACGGGCGTGGAGTCCTCTTCCTCCTCCTCCTCCTCCTCCTCCTCTTCTTCCTCCTCCTCGTCTTCCTCTTCCTCCTCCTCCTCTCGCTGGGCGTCCCCCGTCAGCGGGATGAGGAGGGCGCTCAGCTCCTTGGTGGGGGGGCTGAGCTCGTTGCGGTTCTGGTCGCGGCCCCTCTCGGCCGCCTGGCGCAGCTGGTTCTGCCCGTCCTTCACCCACTTGGTGTTGGAGGGGGGCTCCTCCGCGCTGGGGGGGCACCCCAGGACCCCCTGCAGCTCGGCGCAGCTGTAGGCGCAGTGGCCCTTGCGGGGCAGGATCGGGCCCACGGCGGGAGCCACCAGGCCCAGGCTCAGGCCCAGGCAGCTGTTGTCGTTGGCCAAGTCGCCCCTCTTGCTCAGGGAGCCCGACATGGCGCTGGGGGTCCCGTGGGGGGCAGGAAAGGAGATGGCGGGAGCCCTGGGAAGGAAGGAAGAAGGAAGGAAGGAAGGAAGGAAGGAGAGAGAGAGAGAGAGAGAGGAGCCTCTTAGGCGCTCAGCCCCACTCCGGCACCCTCACAGTGCCCAAGCATGGGCCCCAAAGGGAAACCCACAACAAGCAGGATCCCAGCACAAGAGCAACTCCCTCCTCCAGTGGCAGGTAGTTCTGCAGGTTAACAATGTCCTGTGCAAAGCAGGGATTCTGGTCTCCTCCACTGCCAACCCCCCCCTCTCCGGAGAGCCTAATACCAGATCCCTGGAGGTTGTCTGCTCTAACTCTCAGGGGAAAGGGAAAGGCACTCTGCACATGCTCTGCAGAATTCCATCACACACTCCAGGAAATCAACAACTATCTGACTTTCAGAAGACATCTGAAGGCAGCCCTGTTTAGGGAAGTTTTGAATGTTTGATGTTTTGTCGCTATTATTATTATTATTATTATTATTATTATTATTATTATTATTATTCTGTTGGGAGCAGCCCAGAGTGGCTGGAGAAACCCAGCCAGATGGGCAGGGTATAAATTTATTATTATTATTATTATTATTATTGCTGATCCTGGTAAGGAAACACATTTCCCAGCCGCCACAAGGCCTTCACTGTGCCAGCATTTAGCCATAAGGCCTGGCATTCAGAAAATATAATAATAATAATATTTGAGAGCTCGATTTCAGGATAAGAGCTGGAATTGTTTGTGGAAAAGGGTGTCTTTGTTATCAGGGAAGGTGACACTTTGGCATCGCAGTCATGGCACCCCCAGAACAGCCTGCCTTCAAAGTTTTGCCCCCAGCTCCCATGGGCCGCTGCACTTTGCACATGCTCTATGCCCCTCTCTTCTGAGTAACCTCGGCAGCCCCCTGCAACTGCTCACCCCTGCCCTAAGCCCAGTGGCCTCTGCCCACCCCCTTGGACTTACCTGTCGTGGGCCGGAGAGAGAGAAGAGCGGGCAACTACATGCTTTGGGTGGCACAAAAGGGGCAGCGGCCAGGAGAGGGTCTGCCCCTAGAGCCTGGAGGCAGAAAAGGCACAGCTCAGTTGAGGCAGGAGAAGGGGGTCTCCCAGAAGCAGCAGCCCCCTCCCACCCCAAGACCCTTCAGCCCCAGAGCCCTGGCAAAATGCCCTGGAGATCCAGGGCCCCACTGCCCTGCCCCACAGGACCCCCTAATTCATCAGAGCACCCCCTGGTTCAGGACTCGCCACCTTCCACAAGCCCCCCATGACCCCCCTTGAACCCACCAAGCGCTGGGGGGGGGGAGCTCAGGGCCTGGAGGGGGGGGTCTCTGCAGGGGGCAGGACCAGGGCAGCTCCCCCCCACTGCCCCCTCCTCTCTAGTTGTGAACAGGGGGCACCCACAGGCCCTTTGGGGGGGCGGCCAGAAATGAGTGGTTGGATTGAGAGGGAGCCCATCTAGGCCAGCTTGCTCCTGTTAGGGCGGGGTGCCTTGGCCTATCCCCGCCCCCCCCCCGTGCCAGCTGGGCACCAGCCCCACATCCTCCCCGCCTGCTCAAATCCCCATCCAAGGCCTCTCCTGGAAGGGAGATGGAGATGGAGGGGGTTTGGCGCAGCTTCCCTGGCAGATGTGCCCCCCCCCGTCTGCTCCAAGCCGGCCCTGCTGGCCAAGGAAACGGGGGGCGTCCTCTCCCGCCCCCGGTGCCAAGAGTCGGGCGGCGCGTCGGCGGAGAAAGGAGTCCGGAGAAGGATGGAGCCCCGCGCGCCCTTCCCGGGGGGTCGGGCATCCCCGGCCGTCGTCGCGCAGCCCCCCACCCCACCCCGCAAGGCCAGACCCATGGGGGGGGGCACAGAATCTGCTCCCGATGCCCCTGGGGGTCCCTTTGTGGGAAGGGGTCTCCTTGAAGGAGGGGGCAGGCACCGTCTCCCTCCCCGCCCAGACATCCCGAAACGCCGGCGCCCCCGCCCGACGGTGCCTCTGCAGCCCCCTCCCCACCGTGCACCCCCCCCGAGGGGGGGCTCCGTTGTCCCTAGCGACCCCCTCCCCTCTTTTTTCCTCCTTTTTGCATCGCGGTACCTGCAGCAGCGCGGCGCCTGCGTGAGGATGGAGACGGGGCGGCCGGGGGGGGGGAGAAGGAGGGAGAGAACCGGGGGGGGGGAGGCGTCGTTTCCGTTTCCGAGCCCGCCGAGCCCCGCCCGCTAGCAGGGAGGGGGGAGCCTCGAGGGGCTCCGGCGTGCGGGGGGGAGGGAAGGACCGGGGCTCGTCGGGCGGGGGTCACTTGCAGGGGTCCCCCCCGTCCGCGGGCTCCGGGTGCAAATCCTGCGCAACGGGGGCCGCCTCTGAAGCTGGCTTCCCCGCGCGGGGGGGGGGGCAGCCGGCTCAGCGCGGGGGTCTCCGACGGGGCGCCCCTCCGAGTCTCCCACCACCGCGATGCGCCCCGCCCGGTGGAGACTCCAGAGGGGGTGCCTGGCACAGCTGGGTGGGGGCAGTGCCAGCTGGGCCCCCGGCTCGCCTCATCCGGGTCTCTGGCGACGGGAGATGCCACCTTCGGCGGCTCGCTCTCCCCATCTCCCGCGGGGGGAGAGGGTCCCCCTGGGGGTCGCCTGGAAATCCGACACGGGCGGAGCTCCCCCCCCCCCCCCGGCCTGCCGTGACCTTGGGCGCTTGGGCACGGACAGCGCCCCCCGTTTCGCTTGATTTTCTGGACACTGGGCATCAGTTTGGGTGGACGGCTTTGCCCTTCCATCCCTTCTCCTCCAGGGAGCGAGCGTGGGTCTCCTTACTCCCCCTCCCCATTTAATCCCCCCCACAGCCCCGTAAGGTAGGCTGGGTTCTTGCCAGGCACTTGCTGACTCTGAAGGTCACCCAGCGAGCCTCGTTCCCCAGTGGGGAGACTCGAACCCAGGGCCCCCGGGTGGCCCAGTAGGAAAGGCGAAGCTGCACATTCTCCCGAACCTCTCAAGTAATTTGTAAGGTGCAACTGGTGCCCAGCTCAGGTGTGGCAGCCCTGAAAAAGGCCAGTTCCCTGCTAGGGATCGTTAGGAAAGGAATAGGAAATAAAACCAGTAATATCATAATGTGTCACACAAATAATAATAATAATAATAATAACAACAACAACAATAATAATAATAATTTATTATTTATACCCCGCCCATCTGGCTGAGTTTCCCCAGCCACTCTGGGCGGCTCCCAATCAAGTGTTAAAAACAATACAGCATTAAATATTACAAACTTCCCTAAACAGGGCTGCCTTCAGGTGTCTTTTAAAGATAAGATAGCTGCTTATTTCCTTCACATCTGGTGGGAGGGCGTTCCACAGGGCGGGTGCCACTACCGAGAAGGCCCTCTGCCTGGTTCCCTGTAACCTCACTTCTCTCAATGAGGGAACTGCCAGAAGGCCCAAATCTGTGGTGGGACTGCATTTGGGGCAGCCCCAGTTGCCTCACTTCCAAAAAGGATATTATAGGGCTGGACAAGGTTCAGAAAAGGGCAGGCCAAATGGTCAAGGGGTGGAGTGACTCCCCTGGGAAGAAACGCTGGAGAATTGGGGACTTTTTAAAAAGTAAGAGGTGTCGCTGGTTGGTTGGCACCCGCCTGTCTCGTGACCCCAGGGAAGAGCCCTTGGGCAGGAAGTCAAAGTGTTCGGAAGTCACAGCACCTGCTGTGGCTGTTGAAACCAAGAGAGGAGAGACATGTTTTGTTGCAGCTGGGGCAGATCAAAGAATCCTAGAACTGTAGAGCTGGAAGGGACCCCAGGAATCATCTAAGCCCCCCTGCAATGCAGGAATCTGAACTCAGTCAAGAGGAAGAAGAAGAAGAAGAAGAAGAAGAAGAAGAAGAAGAAGAAGAAGAAGAAGAAGAAGGAAGTTATTTATACCCTGCCAGTCACTCTGGGCAGCTTCCAACAGAATATTAAAAACACAATAGAACTTAAAACATTAAAAGCTTCCCTAAACAGGGCTGCCTTCAGATGTCTTCTAAAAGTCAGATAGTTGTTTATTTCCTTGACATCTGATGGGACGGCGTTCCACAGTTTTATCACTTTTCCAATTCATCCTATTAGGGTTTTCGCAGTGACAGTGGCTTATAGAAAAATTTCTCTTACATTCCTAGGAATGTCTGGTCCTGTAATTCTGAGTAGAAAAGCTTCTGGGGTTTTTTAGAAATGAAAGCCTAATTTTTTAAAAAAAAATCTATATAAAGGGTGCTGCACGAATCAGTTGCCTCCCACCAAAGGATGTGTCTGATTTGGTGCTCCACAAGCCAAGTGATCCGTGGGCAGATCAGCATCATCATCATCATCATCATCATCATCATCATCATCATCATAAAATTTATTATTTGTACCCCGCCCATCTGGCTGGGTTTCCCCAGCCACTCTGGGCGGCTTCCAAGAAAGATGAAAAATACATTAAAATGTCACACATTAAAAACTTCCCTGAACAGGGCTGCCTTCAGGTGTCGTCTAAAAGTTTGGTAGTTGTTTATCTCTTTGGCATCTGATGGGAGGGCGTTCCACAGGACGGGAGCCACCACTGAGAAGGCCCTCTACATGGCAGGTGGGCATCCAAGCTCTGCTTAACAACCTCCAAGGAAGGGGTCCGGTTGTGCTGCTGCAGATGCCCCCCAGGGCTGCTCCTCCCAGCGGCCATTTCTCCTCTCACTGCCAGGGATGCCCAACCTGACTGTCCTGGGCCCTGGCTCCTCTGCCAGGGATGCCCACCTAGTGCAGCTGGTGTTGCCAGCCTTCAGGGCTTGCTTGCAGACAGGAGATTGTTTGCCCACTGGCGAAGGCTTCCCTCACAGGGCTCAGCAGGGAGATCCCACAGCACTGGCAGCACTCCTCTTCATTTTATAACACAACTAAACAACACAAATAGAAAAACAGACAATACAAACAAATTCTTATCTTATTCTTATTTTTTCTAAACATTGTTAAGTGGGCTTCCCCAAGTCCCCCCATCTGATTATCACACTTTTACCCTAAAAATCTTGACATTTTATCCCTTACAGGTAATACTATTTTAAAATACACTATCTTCTACTTCTAACCCTACAGCCTATATCCACTTCCAAAGCTATCCTTAGATTTAAATATTAACAAAAAATTTTCAAATATTCCTTAAACTTCTTCCAATCTTCTTCCACCGTCTCTTCTCTCTGGTCTCAGAGTCTCCCGGTCAGTTCAGCAAGTTCCATATAGTCTATCATCTTCATCTGCCATTCTTCGATAGTTGGCAAATCTTGTTTCTTCCAATTCTTCGCTAGTAAAATTTTCGCAGCTGCTGTGGCATACAGAAAAAAAGTAAGATCTTTTTTGGGGATTTCACCCCTCAGTGGCTGCACTCTTGTCGAGGGTCACACTGTTGGAGCCGCAGAGGTCTGGTGGATCTTTGTTCCCAACGTGGCAAGAGGAAGCCGTGGAGGTGCATCAGGAGAGAGGTTGGCACTTCTGTTGGCATCGCTTCCTGTCCTGGGCTTCACCACCTGCGCGAGAGTTGATGGCAATCTCCAGCTCATCCAGGGAGGGACACCCGGTTCTCCTGCTGTGTCAAGAACTATGTTTTCCTGCCAGTTCAGATCTTGATGGTGCTCTGCCCATTGCTTGCTGCGGTCTGGCATGATCTCGCCCAACAAGGTTTCCAGCTGCACTGCCTCTGTGATGTGCTTCCACCTGACTTTGATGCTATCTCTGGGGCAATTCAGAAGAGCTTGTTTGACAGAATCGGAGAAGCGTTCAGAAAGTTCAGGCATGGCTGTTCTGGCAATGTTGATCCTCTTGTTGTTGTTGTTTAGTCGTTTAGTCGCATCCGCCTCTTCGTGACCCCCTGGACCAGAGCACGCCAGGCACTCCTGTCTTCCACTGCCTCCCGCAGTTCGGTCAAACTCAGGCTGGCAGCTTCGAGAACACTGTCCCACCATCTCGTCCTCTGTCATCCCCTTCTCCTTGTGCCCTCCATCTTTCCCAGCATCAGGGTCTTTTCCAGGGAGTCTTCTCTTCTCATGAGGTGGCCAAAGTCTTGGAGCCTCAGCTTCAGGATCTGTCCTTCCAGTGAGCACTCAGGGCTGATTTCCTTCAGAATGGAGAGGTTTGATCTTCTTGCAGTCCATGGGACTCTCAAGAGTCTCCTCCAGCACCAGAATTCAAAAGCATCCATTCTTCGGCTATCAGCCTTCTTTATGGTCCAGATCTCACTTCCATACATCACTACTGGGAAAACCAGAGCTCTTACTATACGGACCTTTGTCGGCAAGGTGACGTCTCTGCTTTTTAAGATGCTGTCTTAAGTGTTGATCCTAGGCCTCACAATCTGCTTGGTCCCATGGTCCTTCTTTGGCTGGAGAAGGATCTTGCTTGCCACCAGGCTAGGTGATCTTGCGCCCCTGGCAGAACTGTCCAGACTGCACCCCCTAGCCATGGACAAATAAGCTCTTTTTGCTTCTCTCCCCCCCCCCATTCAAGTCACCCTCTATTTAAAACCATTCCGTTCTTAACCTGAAACTGTTCTTAACCTGAAGCACCACTTTAGCTAATGGGGCCTCCTGCTGCCGCCGTGCCGCTGGAGCACGATTTCTGTTCTCATATGTGGGGGAGGGAGACAGTGCTCCTGAAGGTAGGAGTCTATCAATTGATGAAGATGATCATCCAAATGTCATAGACCAAATGGAGTAAACAGCACGCAGACCTAGTGGTGGGAGGAAAAAATCCTTAAATAAGAGACACGGGGGAATGATTAATGGACTTCAATGTCTGTACACTAATGCGCAAAGCATGGCAAATAAACAAGATGAGCTTGAGCTCTTGGTACAGCAAACTAAATATGACATAATAGGCATCACTGAAACCTGGTGGGATAAGTCCCACGATTGGAATGTAATAATGGAGGGATACAATCTATTTCAGAGAAACAGACCAGACAAGAAAGGAGGAGGAGTGGCGTTATATGTCAGGGATGTGTATACCTGTGAAGAGATCCAAGATTTAGAACCTCAAAGCCAAAGTGAGAGCATTTGGGTCAAAATTAAGGGAGAGAAGAATAACAGTGACCTCATTGTGGGAGTTTACTATAGATCCCCAAGCCAAACGGAGGACATAGATGATGCCTTCCTGGAACAGATGGCCAAGCATGCCAAAGGAAGGGAGATAGTAGTAATGGGGGACTTCAATTACCCGGATATTTGTTGGATGTCAAACTCAGCCAAGAGCATAAGGTCAAACAGATTCCTCACTGGCCTTGCAGACAACTTCATTGTCCAGAAAGTGGGAGAAGCAACAAGAGGAACAGCCATTTTAGATCTGGTCCTAACCAATGTTGATGACCTGGTTAGTGGGGTAGAAGTGGAAGGATCATTAGGCGCGAGTGATCATGCTCTTCTGAAGTTTACTATACAGCAGAAAGGAGCAGCCAAGCATACTAGGACTCAATTTCTTGACTTTAAGAAAGCCGACTTCATAAAACTTAGGGAAGTGCTGGGTGAGATCCCATGGACAGTAATACTAAAAGGAAAGGGAGTTCATGATGGCTGGGAGTTTGTTAAGAAGGGAGATAGTAAAAGCACAACGTCAGGCAATACCAATGAGACGGAAACATGGAAGGTGCCTAAAGAAGCCAGGGTAGCTATCTAAAGAACTTTTAACTGAGTTAAGATTAAAAAAGGATGTGTACAAAAAATGGAAAAGGGGGGAAACCACCAAAGAGGAATTCAAACAAATAGCCAGGGGAAAAGAGAAGACCCAAATAATTACTGCCCAGTCAGTCTGACATCAATATCAGGGAAGATTCTGGAGCAGATCATTAAGCAAACAGTCTGTGAGCACCTAGAAAGGAATGCTGTGATCACCAATAGTCAGCATGGATTTCTGAAAAATAAGTCATGTCAGACTAACCTGATCTCGTTTTTGACAGAATTACAAGCCTGGTAGATGAAGGGAACGCAGTGGATGTAGCCTACCTTGATTTCAGCAAGGCATTTGACAAGGTGCCCCATGATATTCTTGTAAAGAAGCTGGTAAAATGCGGTCTTGACTATGCTACCACTCAGTGGATTTGTAACTGGCTGACTGACCGAACCCAAAGGGTGCTCATCAATGGTTCCTCTTCATCCTGGAGAAGAGGGACTAGTGGGGTGCCACAGGGTTCTGTCTTGGGCCCGGTCTTATTCAACATCTTTATCAACGACTTGGATGATGGACTCAAGGGCATCCTGATCAAATTTGCAGATGACACCAAACTGGGAGGGGTGGCTAACACCCCAGAGGACAGGATCACACTTCAAAACGACCTTGACAGATTAGAGAACTGGGCCAAAACAAACAAGATGAATTTGAACAGGGAGAAATGTAAAGTATTGCACTTGGGCAAAAAAATGAGAGGCACAAATACAAGATGGGGGACACCTGGCTTGAGAGCAGTACATGTGAAAAGGATCTAGGAGTCTTGGTTGACCACAAACTTGACATGAGCCAACAGTGTGATGCGGCAGCTAAAAAAGCCAATGCAATTCTGGGCTGCATCAATAGGAGTATAGCATCTAGATCAAGGGAAGTAATAGTGCCACTGTATTCTGCGCTGGTCAGACCTCACCTGGAGTACTGTGTCCAGTTCTGGGCACCACAGTTCAAGAAGGACACTGACAAACTGGAACGTGTCCAGAGGAGGGCAACCAAAATGGTCAAAGGCCTGGAAACGATGCCTTATGAGGAACGGCTAAGAGAGCTGGGCATGTTTAGCCTGGAGAAGAGGAGGTTAAGGGGTGATATGATAGCCATGTTCAAATATATAAAAGGATGTCACATAGAGGAGGGAGAAAGGTTGTTTTCTGCTGCTCCAGAGAAGCGGACACGGAGCAATGGATCCAAACTACAAGAAAGAAGATTCCACCTAAACATTAGGAAGAACTTCCTGACAGTAAGAGCTGTTTGACAGTGGAATTTGCTGCCAAGGAGTGTGGTGGAGTCTCCTTCTTTGGAGGTCTTTAAGCAGAGGCTTGACAACCATATATCAGGAGTGCTCTGATGGTGTTTTACTGCTTGGCAGGGGGTTGGACCTGATGGCCCTTGTGGTCTCTTCCAACTCTATGATTCTATGATTCTATGATCCTGAAGCAAAGTTCTTAACCTGAAGCACTATTTCTGGGTTAACAGAGTCTGTAACATGAAGCGTCTGTAACCTGAAGCGTATGTAACCCGAGGTACCATTGTGTTTCCCATAAGATAGGGTTACCAGACGTCCCTGGTTCCCGGATTTGCAAATCTGTCCCCGGGAAATGTGACAGCCTCAGCAGCCCGGAGCCAGCCTGGTAGCGCAGTTGGCTCTGGCTGGCTTCAGGAGCTGCTCGCTGCCGTGTCACCCTCCATTTTGCCTCCCTGGAAGTCCCCATATGATGTGTCTTATGCGCAACCCATCATATGGGGACTTCCAGAGGAAAAAGGGCGGGTGCCAGTGAGCAGCTCCTGAAGCCAGTCAGAGCCCACTGCCGAAGGGGATCCGGGGACGTCCGGCGGTACAGATCTCCTGCCCCCTTCCCCCTTTGTTTTGACTGATCGGGGGAGGCTCGGGAGTCACAGCTGGCCAGCCGTTGCTCAGTTTTTTAAAAACTGCGTGTTTATGTTTCACAGGGTGTGAAAGAAGGGCTTTGCACCTTGATACAATATGCCTGTGTGCTTGGGCGCAGGGTCTTTTGCCTCACCCTCCCCACTACTGACTCCCTGTTGCTACTCAGCTTCCAAAGAAAAAAGTGTCCCCAGATTCATTGAAAAAAATTGGTAACCATAGACATTTCTGCCCCTGTTTACACACACACACAAAGGGGGCGGCTCCTGCAGTGCCAAGGTGAGATCCCTTCCACGTGCCCCGGCCACTGCTGTGATAAGGTGGGCGGGAGGGGGGCGTTATCAGAGGCACTGGCAGCAGCGGTAGCAGAGGCAGGAGGTGGCTGGCACCTCAGCAATAAAGGACGAGGACAAGAGGCCAAGGAAGCCGCTGCGCAGACCCTCCTGTGCCGCCAGGTAAAGGAGACCCCCTAGACCCCCACCTGAGGGGAGGCCCATTGCTGCCCTTTCCACAGGCAGCTGGGGGCAGGCAGAGTCCAGGGACCTCTCTAGCCAGGGCTGACCCTTTAAGGAGAGCCTGCAGGATCAGGCCAGGGGGCCCAGCCAATTCCTGTTCTCACAGTGGCAGCCAGATGCCTCTTGACCGAAAACCCCAGGAGCAAGGCTTCCCTCTTGTCTCACAGCCCCCAGAAACTGGTCTGGAGGAGAATTTGCTGCCTCTGACTATGGAGGCCAAACAAAGCCATCTGGCTACGGGGGGGGGGGGGGGTATCAGTGAGGACCCCCTTTTGCCCTGGGGGGGGGGGGTGAGAGCACCAGACCAAAAACAGGCCAGGGGGCCCTTTGACCACCTCTTCTTGGGGTCACAGACCCCTACCTAGAATGGGGAGCCCTTTGCCCATCTGGTGGCTCAACCCTGTTAAATATCAGCACTCTTTGGAGGGAAGGAAATGACTTTTCCTGCCCAAGGGTTCTGTGGAAGCCAGAGGCTGGCCTGCTTCCTATGCCAACAAGAAACGGTGTCAGGGAAGTTTCCGCAGCTTCCCTGCCATGCGCAGCCTGGGCTGCTGGTTAGTGCGCCAGCCGCCACCCCCACCCCACCAAGGGCTGCGTGAGGCAGGCAGGATCCTGGTCCTGGCACTGCCAGCCACTCCCTGGGGCTGCCCTTGAAGAAGAAGAACCGAGTCGCTTCCAAGCCTGTGCCAGGCAGGGCCCCGACTCCCCGCTCCCTGCCCGCCCTTGCCAGTCACCACAAGGGCAAGGCAGGGCCAAGGGCAGGAGAGGCAGCCATGACTGGGAGGGAGGGAGGGAGGGTGCCAGGGGTGGCATCAGGCCAGCCCCTCGGGGCCTTCCCCCTCCCTCACAAGGCCAGCCAGACCCAGGCTGAGAAATATGAGGGGTCTCTCACTCTCTTTAGGAGGCCACGCCCCAGCTGGGGAGCCCCACTTAATCTGGGGGGCTTGGACCCAAGCATCCATCTGGGTTCAAGGGCCTTCCCGCCGCCCCCTGACTAGAGGCATTCAGAGGTAGACTGCCTCTGGCCTTGGAAGCTCTCTTTAGCAAGTTTCCTAGGAACCCTAGTTTGTAAAGGGTGCTGGGAACTGTAGCTCTCTGCAGGGGGCAGTTGCCAGGGTTATTTGGGCAGAGGGTGGGTGTGCCAGCAGTCCTCCCCCTTCACAGATTTCAGCCCCTAAGCCAGAGGCTCACCCTCTGTTGCTGCAGGGGCTGAGGAAGGCTTGACGGCAGCCCTGGCCAACGCGGCGCCCTCTGAGCATTTCAGACTACGACTCCCAACAGTCTGAGCCATCGCAGCCGGATGATGCAGCGGCTGATGGGAGCTGCCAGCCCAGAGCATGTGAAGAGTGCCTGGTTGGCCAAGGCTGCCTTAGGACTTGGCCTCAAAGACTCCAAGGCGCCTTCTCCTTCCTTGGACCAGGGATTCTCTGAGCATGCGCAGTGGGTAGTGGCTGGCTGCTCTTCTCTGATTCGCAATGCATTAGGACAGGCATACGCAAACTCCAGCCCTCCTGGTGTTTTGAGACTGCAGTTCCCATCATCCCTGACCACTGGTCCTGTTAGCTAGGGATGATGGGAATTGTAGTTCCAAAACAGCTGGAGGGCCGGAGTTTACCTATGCCTGCATTAGGAGCAGAAGCAGGCATGGTTACCGGGACAGAGATTGGGGTCCCGGGCCTCCCCCTTCCTAAAAAAGGAAAGTCTTTCTTTATGCAGCACATGGTTAGACTGTGGAACTCCCTCCCACAGGAGGCAATGATGGGAGAGAGCTATTGGATGGCTCCTAGCCCTGGTGACTCGGCTCTGCCTCCCCGTGGCTGGGAATCGCAAGAGGGGAAGGGGCTCCTGTAAGGGACATCTGGCAGGCAACTGGGGGGGGCAGGACTGAGGGGGGCTCTCCTTCCGTGGAGGCTTTGAGCCAGAGGCTGAACGGCGGCTCTCCTGACGCAGACACATTGCAGACAGGGGTTAGACTAGATGAGCCCAGGTCCCTTTCAGTGATAGGCTGCTCGACGACATGGGGCCTGGCCCCGATCCAGCAGCCGGGGTCTTAAGAGAGGGCTCCCCTCTTGGCGGCCTCCCTGACCCGCGCCTCTCTCTCTCTCTCTCTCTCTCTCTCCCTCTGCAGACTCCCGTCCCGCCTGCGGATGGCGCTCTTCTCGCAGTGCCTGGAGCCCACGGGCTTCCTGCAGTCGCTGCGCTCCCTGGCGCTGGGCGCGGCGTCGCTGCTGCGGGGCTCGGCCACCCCGGAGGAGGCGGCCTTCGTCCGCCGGGAGCTGGCGCTGCTGGAGCGCGACCTGGCCGCCGGGCCGGGGCTGGCGCTGGACGGCGCGGGCGAGCTGGGCGCCTGCGAGGACGGCGTGTCGGTCGCCTTCGAGCAGCTGGCTCTGGCGGCGCGCGCGTCCGGCACGGCGTCGGCGGCGCGCGAGGCCGAGCTCTTCGTGGCCGCGTGCGCGCGCGAGAAGCTGGAGCGGCGCCTGCTGGCCGCGTGGCGGCGCGTGCAGGGCTGCGGGGTGGCGGCGGCGCAGCGCCCGGTGCTGGAGCGCGCCGTCGAGGCGCACCGGCCGCGGAGGCCCCAGATGGCGGGCGTGTGCCAGAAGCTGAACGCGCTGCTGGGCGCCGGGCTGCTGTGCCTGCTGTGCCAGGCGGGCCTCACCCAGCGCGACCCGGCGCTGCTGCTGGCCGTCTGGGAGGAGCGCGTGGGCGCCGCGCACCGGCGCATGAAGGAGGCGCTGGCCGCCTGCGCCCGCTACTTCCCCGAGCAGGCGCGCGACGACGTCGAGCGGGCGCTGGCCGAGCTGCCCGCGGTGCCCCCCGGGCCGGCCCAGCTGGCATCCAGCGTCCTGCGCAAGCTGGAGGAGAACTACGACTGGCTGCGCTGGGCGGTGATGGCCTGGCAGGAGGGCGGCGGCGGCGACGGGGCGGGCGGCGAGGAGGAGGAGGTGCTGGCGCAGGGCAGCTTCGTGGCCGCCCGCGCCCCGGGGGGGCTGCACGTGGTGGCCTGCTATGGGGAGAGCCCCGGCGCCCTCGACCGCGCCCGCACCCACCAGCTGATCGGGGAGCTGGAGTGGAAGCTGCCCAACCCGCCCCCTGAGGTCTACGCCAGCCTGGAGGCCGAGCCCGCGCGAGCCGCCGGCTACCTGGCCCGCCGCCTGCTCCAGAAGCTGGCCGAGGGCCTGGGGCCCGGAGTCACCCTCCTGGTGGTGCCCGGCAAGCTGGAGATGAAGAGCAGCTTCCCGCAGGCCGCCAGCCTCCGCCACGAGTACCGCCACCGCCTGGCCTCCGGCACCGTCTGCATCTTCGGCTGAGCCCCGCGGAACGGCCTTGGGGAAGCCCCCGAATAAAAGGTCCTTTTGCTACGCCCAGCCTGGTCTCTTGCACCCTCCCGCACTGATACTGAATCGGGGTCCATATGGCTCGTATTCCCTGCACTGACTGGCAGCAGCAGCGCCCCAGGGGTCTCTGCCGGCCCTTCCTGGCGAGGCCCCCGTTCAGGACTGAACCCAGGACCCTCCCCTGCCCAGAGACAATCGTGACCTGGCTGCTCTCTCAGCTCAGGAGACTCAGCATCCAGCAGCTGAGGGCATTTCCAGAGGGGAGGGGGCTGGGATTCAGTCCCATTCCCACAAATGCAGGTTGCCCGGGGGGGGGGGGGGCAGTCTCTGGCACAGGAACCCGACTTGACCCAAACATTTTGCAGTGAGGAAGGCGAGAGGCGGACTGGGAAGGGGGGGGGCGACTCTTGCTGGGATGAAGGCGCAGCAAACACGTCACCTGGAAGCCCCCTCAGCCCCTCCGATTACAGGGAGGGGGAGACCCAAGAGATCAGCTGTAGCCCCCCCCCAAACACACAGGATTACAGTGGGCACCAGGCAGAGGCTTTTATTGGGTGCAGGTGGGTCCGGGCTCCTGGGGAGGAGGGTGGGAGCTGGTGGGTCACCTCAGGGCAGGAAGGGGCCCTGAATCAGAATTTATTCTTACGGTCACAGACCAGTCACAATATCAGGAAAATCATAAAACACAACAAGGATACATTGAATTGCAATTGGGTATAAGAGAGACAATTCAGATATAGCGGCAGTTAAAAAAATATATTAAATCTTGATCACTAAAATATAACCTACAATTATCATTTAAAACCTTAATCATTTTGCTGGTACAGCTTGTTCCCTAAGTTTTATGGCAGTCGCACAGAGGAAGGGGCCCTGCTATTCATGCCTGGGGAGCGGGGTGTGGGGGCCCCCCTTGCCCCTTGCCATGGGGCACCAGAAAACGTCCGCAGCCGTGTTCTGGGCAGGCACGGGCCCCGGGGCCCCCAGGAGATGGTCCACACTCCTATAGTGGTAGAAGTTGGGCCCCTGGAAAAGGAAGACCCCCTGGGCGGAGCAGAAGGCGCTGTCCACGTGGCCGTGGGGGGTGTCCAGCGCTGGGCCTGGCAGGCGGGGGCTCCTCTGCAGGTCCACCAGCTTCATGGAGTTTCCTGGGGGGAGGAATCGGGTCAGGCCCCCGGTGCCAGTCCCTGGAGCTGCTTGCAGAGCCCCCAACCCTCTTCTCCCTGCCCCCACCCCTCAACCACGCAGGGCCGCTCTGGAGGGAGAAGACCCCCCCTCGCCTGGCCAGAGACCCCACGCAGAAGTGAGTGGCCATCTCCTGTCCACAGACGCGGCTGTGCCTGCCTACATGTGAGAAAGCAGCCTGCCTGGGACTCCTGCCTGGCAGCGGGCTGGACTGGATGACCCCTGGAGGCCCCTTCCAACTCAGCCATTCCAGGATTCCCAGGCCTGGGGGGCTCAGCGGCTCTTGCTTGCCTTGAGAGGAGTCCCCCGGAGCGTGCGCTGGAACGCAGGAAGCTGCCCGACGGCAAGGGAGACGGCTGCTCCATCTCCTTCAGTGCTGTCTGCACAGGCTGGCAGCTGCTTCCCAGGCTTTCAGGCCAAAGCCTTTCCTATCCGTATGTGGGGAGCTATGGCCCTCTTTCCTGGCACTGAGCACCTGGGTCTGGGGGGCCCTGCACCTCCCGCTTTGCAGAATGAGGCCCTCCCCGCCCTTCCAAATACCTTGAAAGACGTAGAGGTGGCTGGAATGAGGGCAGGTGAAGGCCGCATCCACGCCCGGCAGCCCCAGCTCTTCCTGCAGAGGCCGGGGGTAGCCCTCCACGCGGCTGTAGCCAGAGCCGGCCCGGAAGATGGTGACCTCAGAGCCCTGCAGGCGAGAGCAGGAGGGGGAAGCCGCCAGTCCCACAGGGTGGGGGCACCCAGCCCCTCAGGCACCTTCCGCCTTCTGGCTCAGCGGGAGGCCTCTGACTAAGGCCAGCTGCAGGGAATGGCAGGTGGGAAAAGCGGCTGCTGCCTGGCAGGGGGTGGGATAGAGGACCTTTGGGGGTCCCTGCCTTCCAACTCTTCACTTCTGTGATTCTGCGCTGAGCTGGGGTCCCCCTCAGGGGGCTTCCCATAATGGCTGCTGTGGGGGCAGCAGGCAGGACTGGGTGGGCCCCCTTTGGCCTCAACCAACAGCCAGGCTTCTCTGGGAGGGGGAGTTTCACTGAACAAAAGCCCCCCCCCCAAAAAAAATCATAGCTGCCTTTTCATTCTCCAGTTGCACACGGGGGTGTCCATTTTTGAGCCTCCCTATGGGAAGTGTGGTGGCAGATGGTGGTAAGAGATGGGCAGGGGCCAGAGGCTTAATACTGGGGGGGGGGACCTGCCTTCTGGTGGGCAAAGGAAGAAGAATCCCTATGTAGAGGTTCATTCTTCCTATGAGAGGTTAGGGACCCCCCCCCTTGAGACTCCATGGCTCCCTCGGGCCTCTTAGGCACCATCTTCTGGCCAGATCACACAGGTGGGGGACAGCGCTGACCCCTGCCCTCTCTTGCCTCCCCCCCCCCAGCTGCCCTGCCCCCCATACCTGGATCAGGTAGAATTTGTCCTCCCAGCTGAAGGCCGCGTCCACGTCCCCCTCCAGGCCCTTCCAGGTGTGGCTGAGAGGCCAGGCATGCCAGCCATCGCGCCAGGAGTCCACGCGGAGATACTGCCCCCCTGCCAGGAGGGGAAATGGAGGGGGGCTTCATGCCTCCAGCTCCCTGGGGTGGGTGGGCAGCCAGCCACCCTTTGGGTTCCAGTTGAGGGTCTCCAACCTCCCCGGGCTACGAGAGTGGAAGAGGAGCCCTCTAAGCCTGGCCCAGCCCCCTCCTCTGCCCGCTTCCAGTGCCAGTGAGCCCCCTGTTGCCCCCCCCTGTAATGCCAGGGTGTCCCCGCTTGCTCACCGCGGAAGGCATAGATGCGCCCCGAGTCGTCCGAGGAGAAGGCTTGGAAGGGCTCCCCGCTGCAGGGGTCCATGGCTGCCCTGAGGGTGGCATTGGCCTGTGCCTCGTGCCCGTGGCCTGCCAGGGGTCAAGGGGAAGCAATGCAGAGAGAGGAGCTGAGAACAGAAACTCCCAGGGGGGGGGGGTTGGGGCCCTGAGTAACAGCCCTGTCCATGGGCAAAAACAGCTCCTGAATCTGACTGCCACAGCCAGTGCCCCAGGAGGGCAGAGGCTGCCCCACTGATCCCCCACCACGGGTGAGACAGTATCCTTGTCTGAAGTCCTTTTCCAGGTGAAGCCCCCCCCCCCGCCCCATCTTCATCCATGCGCAATTTGGCCTGCTCCCTTGACGGGGGGGGCTTGCAGATGCCCCCCACCCCGGGGCCAAAGGCAATTTGGACTGTGAGCAAATTGGCCCAGGGAGAAGCAGCCACAGGCCTCTTGTGCTGCCCCCTATGCCAAGGCCTTGGAGTTGGGCTCCAGAGGGGGTCCTCGCTGCCAGCTGAGCTCGGCCCATGCAGCCTCCCCACCCTGGCCTACAGGCCGTCCAGCTGGCTGGGCTGCCACAAGCTGCCAGGTTGAGTGGGCATCCCAGGAAGCTGCTCCTTGCCGGCAGGCCCTGCGCAGCTGCCACAGCCGGGAAATGCCACTCGGGGAGAAGGGTGCCCTGGTCTCCCCAAACCACAGCTCCTCGCAGCCACCTTTGGCTTCTGTGGACTCTGGCGCAGCACATCTTGCAGGAGAGGAGGGGCCTTTTGCTTCTGGCACCCCCAGATTCCCTCTTTGTCGTTTCCTCGCATGCAAGACTCTCCCTGACCAGCCCCACAGGGTAGGGAGGCTCAGTGGGGTTTGCGCCTGCTGGCTTGTGGGGGGATAGATGTTCCCTTCTCAGAGCGCCCCAGATGCAGCAACAGGGATGTGGGGGAGCTCACCTCTTCCCGGGCAGCGCATGAAGTAGTCCCTGGCATCCCGCGGGTACTTGGGGGGCACCTCGCCCGTGACGGGGTCAAAGCGCAAGAACTGGATGCCCTGGAAGCAGTAATAGCGCTCCAGCCAGCGCACGGCAGAGGAGCAGTTGGCCACGGCCGACCAGGAGCGCTGCTTCACCATCCCGGTGGCCAAGTCATAGGAGAGGACCAGGGGGCCTGCGGGAGACAGAGCAGGGAAGGGGGGTCAGCGGCTGCCACCTCCATGCAAGTCGGGCAGACAGAGAGTGCTAGAATTGCTGAGTTGGAGGGGATCCCCAAGGGGCATCTAGTCCAACCCCCTGCAGTGCCCCAGTGCCCTGGTTCCCCATTCAATGTGAAACCAGACTGGACCCTGCTTAGCTTTGCAAATGTGCCGACAGTTCTACGGCTGCACCACTAGGAGGCGCTTGTGCTCGGGTCCCGTGTTGAGCATCTGCCTGGGTGCTGGGAGAAGAGGGTGCTGGGCCGATGGGACCCTTTGGCCTGATCCAGCCACATCCCAGCTCCCCTTCTGTCCCCTGGTCTCTCCACTGAAGCTGCCTCTGCGGTCCTCCTCCCTCGCTGAACTACATCTCCCAAGATCCTCCTGGGGGGCGCAGCTTTGGGGAGGAGTTCTTCCCCCCCTTGCCCTCCTGCCTGGGGGGCTGGAGGAGCCCCTGGACTGGAGTTTCAGGGGGATGTTCTGGGTGTTGCAGGAATTTGTGTATAGGTTGGGGAGGGGTTGCCCCTCCAGCAGACATCATGTACATGCAGCCCACCCCCAAAATCAGCACCATCCCTTTTGTGACTTGTCCCCACAAAACACTTCTTCACAGTTTCTTCCTATCTGTTCAAAGGGCCTCTGCTGCAGAACACCAAATGTAAGAATTCACTGATCAATGCATCTATGTACTGGCTCAGTGGGGAAACTTCAGAAATTCATCTGGACCTGTGAGCTCAGCTACTCAGCAGCCCCTCTGCCGGAGCGAGAATATCCGCTCTCCCTTCCCCACAGGTGGGCGGGGTTTGCGGAGGAAGCGAGGCTCACCTGGGCGGGTGCCACCCACCTGCCTGAGCTGGCCTTTGACCCGCCCCCGGCCAGGGAGGACAAGGCCGGGGGTGGGCCTAAGGCCAAAGGAAAAGAGGCTGACTCCTGGGCTCAAGCCTCTTTTGCTGCTCTTCCTTCTGGGATCAGCAGCCCCTCTGCCTCAGTGAGAATCCCTGGCATCCTGATACCTGAGCGCTAGACAGGTAGCCATTCCAGAAAGAAGAAACACAGAGGGAGACAAAAGGGTGTGATGAACTTGGCTGGGAAACAGGGAAATGTAAAGATCTCTTTTGTTGCACTCCATGGGTGTTTGGTGGAGGGCAAGGGGAACCATGGGGCAGGGTCCAGGATGCTCAGATTACTGCCACCAGACCTCCCCTTTCATGATGTAACCATGATGTATTAGTGATGTAGTTTGGGGGTTGTAACATGGGGATTAGCAGCTAATAAAAGTTTGGGGGCTCTTTTGTTCAGGGCTTCCATCTTGTTCCACCTTGTGGCAGGTGGGAGTCCTGTCGCGACAGTCTTCAATCAAGACCAAGCCGACTGGCTGCTGTTTTGCTCTGCTATTCCTGGCTGGTGTCCTTGTTTCTTGTCCAAGGGAGCCTCAGATTTCTCCGTTAACATGGGAGGCGGCTGGCGAGAGTGAGCGGCTGGCGAGAGGAACCCCAGGGTAGGACCCTCTACTTCCACCCCCTACTTCTTCCAGGGGCATCCGGCCCACCTCCTGAGCCCCTCAGCCCCCCAGGAGACACGCTCCAGCTCACCCTTGAAGAAGAGGACGGTGGCGGCCGCACACTCCTTGGGGTGACACTCGACCGCGGCATCCAGGTGACCAGGCACCCCTCTGAACTCTTCCTCGATGCGCCGGGGGAAGCCAGGCCTCAGCTTGCCCTGGGCATAAGCCCAGACCCACTGGCCCTGCAGGGAGACCAGGGCACACCCTCCATCTCAGCCGAGGACCACAGGGCGCAAAAGATGGCAGCCCCACCATCTCCCTTCCCCATGGGTGGGGCAGCTCAGTGGGAGAGAGAGGCCACTCACCCCACTTGCCTCCACATCCTGCCCCCTGGCAGCCCCCCCCCCAGCCCTGGGGCGCCCCCCACCTTCCCATCCAGGGCACAGAAGCACCCCTGGCTGGGAGGGCCGACCTGCCTTGCAGATCTGCTGCCCCAGGGAAGCTTAGGGGTTCTTTGGTTGGGGGGAGTCACCCCCTGGCTCCCCACCTGGAAGAAGTAGACGTTGTCGTGGGCGGCTGGCTGGTCCAGGTGGTGGATCCTCAAGGCGGCATCGAGGGGCCCCTGGATCTGGGGCCAGGAGGCGTTGAGGGGCTCAGCCGGCCCACTGAAGCCCTTCCAGACCACGTCCCCTGGGGAAGAAGGGGAGGCTCAATGGGAGGCACCGGCTGGGGGCCCCAGCTGAGCCCCCAGGGGGCTGACTTAGCTTCAGCAGCCCCCCGGAAAGCATCCCGAGGTCTGCATCCTTCCTGGGCCCACATCTCACAGAGACCTCCCCATAGCAACCCCTCGGCTAGCGCACCCAGCCTCCTCCTCACACCATGGGAAGAAAGGGGGGGTGTGAAGGCAGTGGTGGAGCTTCAAGGGGGGGCAGAGAGCAGACGGGGGTGTGGCTGGTGTGCGTCCTGGGGGTGTGGCACATGTCCTGTGGGCGTGGAGCACCGCCTGCAGGGGTGTGGCACCCAGTGTGGGGGGGAGCCGTGATGGCACCCCATCGGGATCGTGCCGCTGGGGGGGAGTGTGCTGCCCCCGCACCCCTGTTCCTCTGCCAGTGGGTGCAGGGAGACGAGTGCGAGATGCAGGCTACCTTTGAAGAAGAGCATGTTGCCTCTCTCGTCCAGCGTGATGGCGTCAAAGCCTTCCTCGTTGGCACAGCGCCTGGCGGTCTCTGGAAGCAGCAGAGAACATTGTGATAGATCACCAGCTAACCATCGCGATACACCGATATCTCACGAGGTCTGAGATAAGGATGGCGCTATGGAGAGGCCCTGGCTGGCTGCATGGTTTCCCCCACACGGTGATTTTTGCGTAGCGCACACAAACACATCATTATTCGCGATATATCGCCAGGTCAAAACTATAAAAGCAAAATCACGATATGGACTTCAAACCAGTTTGGGATGATATATTGATATACCAGCCAGCCCTGTGCCCCCAGAAGTGAGAAAAATGCCAAAACGTACTCTCAGAAGGTGGTGGGCACAGCCAGTGCCTGTCAGAGGGTTTGTTTGGCTGAGATTCCCGCACTTGATGACCCCCAAGGTCCCTCCCAGCTTTGCAATTCTCTGATTTTCTGCAGCACACCAAGGGGGGATGGGGGCAGCCTGGCTGGGAGCGGGGCAGAGAGACAGAAGGGGGTGCCCAGAGCAAAGGAGGAGCAGGACCTCTGGAGAAGGTGCCCATTGGCAAAGCCCACCTGTGTCGTTGAGCGGAGGCTGTGAGGCCGAGTGGTGCCAGCTGCTGCCGCCGGTGCCATTGAACTTGCTGCTCCCGTGACCCCTGCCAAACAGAAAACCCTGGTTAGCACCCGGCAGTGGGTCTCTGCAGCCGCCCAGGGGCGGAAAGAGCCCCCTGCCTGGGCCAAGACAGAGCCCCAGCCTCAGGTCAGCTCCCGCTAGAGGACATGGGGGCACAGTGGATGCTGCTCCAGGGGGGTCTAGGGAGAGAAGACCCCCACGGCAGAGCCACCCCCCTCCTCTCCTTGGGCCCACTGGACCCCCCATGGGGCTCATCTCGGCAGCAAAAGCTGAGCCAAACAGAGCCCCTGCCCCATTCCGGGCACTCACAGGGGGTGGGCCAGGGCCAGGGCCCAGCTCAGGCAGAGGGCTCCCAAGGGGCTGCGCATGATGTGCTCCAGTCCACAGCAGCAGAGCCCCAAGGCCAGGCCCTATCACCTCTTATATCAGCAGAGAGGAGGGATTTCCCAGCCCAGGAGAGTTGCACAATCTGCACTCGCCACCGTTAACTCTTTCCGCAAAAGGGCGGAGGCTGCCTCGGGGGCACTGAGGGGGGGAGAAGAAGGGAGGCTTACGGAAAAAGGTGTGGGGCTCCTGCCCATTCCAGAGTTGTGGGGGACCTGGGGGAGGGCAAATGTCCGGCCTTGATCTATGGCTGGCCCAAGACAAATACACATGATTTTTTTCTTCATGTATGGCAGGATTTTAGTTTCTTATTCAAATGTGGAGACACCTGATCCCTCAGTGCCATCTGCTTGTGCAAGTCTGTCTGGCTCACTGAAGATGAGAAAGAGAACCTTTCTTCTCAATAACGACAGAACTTACAGGTGGATAATCCTTTTATTTTCTATAAATATTTATTATTCACCATGGGAATCTTAGTATGAGTTCATGTTACATTACGCCTTTGGAGCTGGGCTGCGTATCACCCAGGTTTCTAGCTGCAAGCCCCACGGACAGGGTCAGCTGCAAAGAAACCAAGGCCCCTATGAATACGTGGTCCTGTTGCAGCATGTGTGTTTGGGGGGGTCAGGCCCCACCCAGACTGGGCAGCAAATAAATTGCCCTGTGTGGGCAGCTGTACGCCCAACCATGTTTCCTCTTGGCTCATTAGATCAAGGGAGGGCGTGACTGGTGAGGTCCGGAGAGTGGAGGGTGCTTGGTTGCTAGAGGGACTCCTGGTCCCGGGAACAGGGCAGCCTCAGTCACCCAGATGGGAAATCTCAGAAAGATCTGCGTTCTAGATTTTAAAATAAAAAAATTCCTTCCATTAGCATCTTAAAGACCAACTAAGTTTGTTATTGGTATGAGCTTTCGTGAAGAAGTGTGCATGCACATGAAAGCTCATACCAATAACAAACTTAGTTGCTCTCCAAGGTGCTACTGGAAGGATTTTTTTAATTTTGTTTCGACTACAGCAGACCAACACAGCTACCTACCTGTAACTAAAACTAGTTTTTAAAAACTCTTCCTTCCTGGCTTAAAGAAATCATTCAAGGCAGCGCCTCCATCGCTTCGTTCCAGGCACAAATAAATCTTCCTTGTTGACTTCAACTGTACATTGCAATGCCTTTTGATAATGGCAGGAACTGAAACGCTTCCCAGATTTGTAATGGACGGCTGTGAGGTCTCTGGAGCTGAACTGGCAAATACAGAAGGGAAGATGTTGACTTTGACAGGGACTGAGCCTGGGCAGAGTCAAGTGTGTCAGAACAACAACTCTCTTCTCCTGAGGAGACACATCAGTCGGGGAGGCTCTTCGCAAAGGGGCAGGTGTGGGGCTGGCGAAGGCGTGGGGCTGGGAAAGCGCTCACCCAGGACACCCCAGAAGGCACCAGAGCGAAGGCAGCCTCTTGCCATGGGAGCCCCATGTGGGGCAGGGACTGGAAGAGGGACATTTGGCTCCCCCGGGATCCTCTGGATAAATGAATGTCGAACGGAAGGTATGTTCTGGCCACTGTATATTTCAAAGCTGTGTCACAAACTGGACTGAATTGAGGAATCAGCCTCCCATGCAAAAATGCCCTTCACCTGACGGAAGGCAGAGAAAGCCTCGGCCGGCCGAAGAGACAGAGCCCCATCCTCCCACGATGGCCGCCTTGTGCTTCCTCCTGGCTTGGCTCTTCAGCATCAAGTATGTTTCTGAGCACAAGTCGAAGTGTTGGTGCTGACCTTGAAAGCCCTAAACGGCTTCGGTCCAGTATATCTGAAGGAGCGTCTCCACCCCCATTGTTCTGCCTGGACACTGAGGTCCAGCTCCGAGGGCCTTCTGGCAGTTCCCTCATTGCAAGAACTGAGGATACAGGGAACCAGGCAGAGGGCCTTCTTGGTGGTGGCACCCGCCCTGTGGAATGCCCTCCCATCAGATGTCAAAGAGAACAACAACTACCTAACATTTAGAAGACATCTGAAGGCAGCCCTGTTCAGGGAAGTTTTTAATGTGTGACATTTTAATGTATTTTTCTTCTTTGTTGGAAGCTGCCCAGAGTGGCTGGGGAAACCCAGCCAGATGGGCGGGGTACAAATAATAAATTAAAATTATTACTATTATTATAAATCTGGAAGCTGCTATGAGAGGTACCGGCTGTGCAACGCCTGGAACGCCTGGCCTGGTCCCAAACTCGTGGGTCACGTCTGCGTAGGGGTGTTCTAGCTGAAGGGTGGCAGATGCCCCCATCGGAAGGAACTCTGCATAGGGCATCTGGGGTGGGGGCGGCCGCCGTGATGACTGTACCACCTGCTCATCAGCCCTCAGAAAGTCTGTCTTAGGCACAGCAATTACAACAGGCCTCTCTTTAAAATGCTTTGCATTGCAAAAGAGAGAACCGGTCTTCTCCAAAGCAACTTTCAGGGTTCTTGTTGTAGATTCGCCTCAGCCAAGAGGAGCTTGTGAAAGGCCAACTTTGTTTGTTGTAGATTTCGCAAGCAGGCGATCAGGAAGGTTCTTGCAGTGGTCAGTTAAACAAAAGAGGTGGGACTTGCAGCAAAAGCTGTCCCACGACCAGACCAGATCCTGACTTTCTGAAGCACCGGCCAGAGCAAATGTTGCCCAACTCAGCTGGCAGGCGTGGGATCTGGAAGAGGAATGGGGGTGGGGCGGCTGGGACAGAAGGGCTTTGTGCTCCCAGACCGCCAGCTATGAGGAAGCCCACCCAGGCGCACCCTGCAAATTCCACGAATTGCACAAGGCTCAGAGAACGGGCGCCTCTGTCTCGGAGGGCAGAGATTGCTGCAGGTGCGCAAAACTCCCGCCCCCTCCAGCTCCAGAGGCTTCCTTCAGCTCACATCCAGATTCTTTCCCTCCTTCCATTTTTCTTTTGCAAAGCACTGCTTGCCACCATCACCACCCTTTCTCAATTGATGCAGTCTTAACTGTCCCAGTTGTGGGATCATAAAACCGATTGCAGAGTTGGAAGGGACACCGACGATCATCTAGTCCAACCCCCTGCAATGCAGGGGATCGAACCTGCAACTTGGGTGTTCTCAGCACTAAGCTGAAACCAACTGAGCTATCCATGAGGCCTGATCCTGGCTGTGAGACCCGTGACCAAGGTGGGGAGCTGAGGGCCTCCGATGCCCCTTCCCCACACAACTGATGCCCCACAGCCCCCAGGGGACGGCCGCTTATGCCTCCTCGACTTCTCCAGCAGTTGCCGCCAACTTATGATTCTTGATGCAAGAATTTCTTAGTGAAAGCCTTAAACTGAGCCAGAGTAGAAAGCCCTCAGACTCCCAACTCGGCTTTGGCAAAGGCTTGACCGTGTGGGTGAGGACGACACGTAAGTCAGGCTGCAAAGCCCCGAGGGGAAGAGGGATCCCAGTGGTCAAGTGCACGGCCAAAGTTGGCTAAAGTCGTAGTCCCAGGACGCAGCACACACCCCGCTCTCCTTGGTGGGGACACGATTTGGAAGGCTGTGAGCAGGAGCAGAGCTTCCCAACCCGCCTTCCTGGGAGTGAGGTGGGCTGTCGTTCCACCTGCGCCAGGAAGCAGGGAAGCAGAAGCCCCTCAGGTCTCCAAACCAGGCCAAAAGCCAGACTGAGCCACTAGGGGGCGCATTGGAAGATGGCCGACAATACCATCTCTCCGACCCACACGGGGTAATTAAGAGGCTGTTATGGGAGTAGGCAGCCTCCCTTGTTGCCCCAAGGAAATGGGGAACACTGCCCTTGCCTGCTGTGCCCATAAATCACCCCCTAATTCGAAAGAAGGGGGTGAGGGCCCTAGGCAGAATGCCCCCGTGTGGACATCGGCTCTCCTGGACGCTGTCTCTGATCGCGCACTAGTTGGAATAATTAATTACAAAAGAAGCAAATGCACATATTTCAAGTGAAGAAGGGGAGTGAAGTCTGCTAATTTACCTAAGTGACCTCTGCGAAAGAAGACGACGGGCTGGAGAAACAGGAATATTTTACGATGAAGATACACTAAAGGCGCGGTATGTTGACAACGGGGCTGAATGGGGGGGCCCTTTACTTTCCTTCTATGTGATTTACAAGAACCCCTCCTCATTAGAACCGTCGGTTGAACTGACCCAAGCAGGATGATTAAGGTCTGTGTGGAGATAAACTTTAACCAAAAGTATGCTTTATGGAGACCGAGAAGCAATAAGAGCTTTTGGGAATGGCGCAGCAATTAATTCGGAGTCACCATCTTGCCAAAGGATTTATAGCCGGGAGGAAGAATGGACTTGTTTTCAGACTGCATTCCTAGTGAATCTCCTCAGAGGTTTTGAGGAAGGAGGCAGATTGGTGAAGATTAATGACGCTAAGACTGTTTTGATGTATGGAAGTGATGTTATATGGAAAACGTCTAGATATGGCTACTGGATTAAAAAAATATATATCCACGCAGGATTACAAACTATTCTAACCAGCTTGCGGAGACTATCAGAGGTCACAAAGAGAAAGGAAAAATATATGAAAATAACAACAAGAGATGTGGAAAAATAAGAAGAAAGGACTGGATAGTACTGTGAACATCATAAGGTTAGATTTGTGGACATTAAAACAGCAGTAAGAAGCAAGAAGTTGATTGGATCCCTTCGGAACTTGAAATATGGGTACCCCCAACAAAAATTTAAAATTCGCAAGTGCAGCCCCTCATCAGCACACAATGAGCGTTCAGGGCTCTCAAGGGGGCACCTTCAAAGCTGCCTGTGCTTCCGGCCAACGTGCACTCAATACACGGGGCTGGGAACTTCCAGCATTTCACAATCCCGTTTCCAGGCAGACAATAACTGCAAATTCCCCTGCTCTTTCCAGGGGTGAAGTGCCTCCATCCCTTCGGAAATTCTCCTCCCTTGATCGGGCTCTTTCTCCCGAGAGCTGAGCGGCAGGAGTGACCCACATGCCAAAGGCTTTTAGCTGCTTTGCGGCAGCCGGTCCATTCCCCGGTCTGCCAGGGGACTCCCCTCTGAAGGAAGGCGGCAGCGTTTGGGATTTGGGGGTTTAGAGAAAAGGCAAGTAAGCGGCAACAGGAGAGAAGCGTGTGAGATTATGCCGAGAGAGAGAAGAGGGAAAAGCTTTATCCCCTCCCTCGTGGGCATCCCATGAAACTGAACGCTGCAGGATTCAGGACAGAGAAAGGAAGCCCATCACACAGCGCAGAGTAAAACTGGGGAACTCCCTCCCGCAGGGGGCAGGGATGCCCACCAGCCTCAATGGCTTTAAAAGAGGATTGGGCAATTCACAGAGGAAAGCAAGACTATGGATGCCCACTAGGCAAGACAGCTCTGCTCTGATTCTGAATACCAGGAACCACGGGAGGGAAGGGAGCTCTTGTAATCTGGTCCTGCTCGCAGATTTTGCTTCAGGGCACCTGGTTGGCCACAGGGATAACAGGAGGCAGGACCAGACTGTCCCTTTGGCTTGATCCAGAAGGCTCTGCTTATGTCCTTCTTGTTGGTTTTTCTTTATCTTAAAGAGGTGAATAATGATACTCAGGAACCAGGCTGGTTTCAGAGGTGCATGTTTGCAGTTTGACCTGCTTAGCTGCACACCTGTGGTCTCTCGACTTTTTGCCTAATTAAAAGGGGAGTTACTTTCTGCACCCGGTGCAGGAAGGGATGTGGTAAGATAATTGGTTAATTGAAACTGCATTTAATTTGATCAAATGTCTTGTAAGCTGCCGGTGAGGAGGAGTGGTGGCTTGCAGTGTTTGGGTGTTATGTTTTTGAAAAGAAAACTAAGAAAAGATATTGTGGACAGCTTTTTCTTTCTACGCTCCATTCACTGCGCACACTTCTGTCCTCCTCCTCCTTCCCCACCAGGACCCCTGGGCTCAGGAGGCAGCCCTGTGCCAGCAGCAGCACCAGGAGCCTCAGTGGTAGGAGAAGCAGAAGTGGCCCTGGGCACCGCTTGGCCCACAACCCTCTGCTTATGTTCTCATGGAACCCCTGGGTCCAGAGGCAGCAGTTGTGGGCATCAGTCTGTCTTGGCAGACAGTGGGGGGGTATTCAAACTGTTGAAGACTTGCAGCGCCTGCTGTGGCTGTAGAGACGGATGTGGGAAAGGCCTGCTTTGTTGCATCTGGGGCAGGCAAAGGTGCCCCCCCAGCTGTGCTGCTGCAGATGCACCAGGGCGTTTCCTCTCTCTGCCCCTGCCAGCGGTCATTCCTCCTCTGGGCACTGCTGTGGATGCACAACCCGACCGTTTCCAGGCTCTATGCTCATCTGCAAGGGATTCCCACATGGCAGGCCTGATGTTGCCAGCCTTCCTGTCCCGTTTGCAGACATCTTTGCAGCGTAGTTGGTTTGCCAACGGCCAGAAGCCAGCTCTGCGTAGATCACATCCTTGGGGATCCTGCTGCATCTTCCATTCTGTGCTCATGACCAAGCCAGCATAGATGTCGCTGGGACAGAAGTGCGAACGTGCTGGGAATGGGGGCTTGGAGAGCACATCTCTGTTGGAGGCTCTGTCCCGCCACGTGATGCCCCAAATCTTCCTGATGCAGCACATTGAGAAGGTATGGAGGCGCTGCTTCAGGCCAGAAGCCTTCTCTCTGCCTTCCTGGGTTCTGAGGGGCATTTGGTGTTATGTACTGGCACTGTGGGTTAAACCACAGAGCCTAGGACTTGCCAATCAGAAGGTTGGTGGTTCGAATCCCCGCAATGACGGGGTGAGCTCCCGTTGCTCGGTCCCTGCTCCTGCCAACCTAGCAGTTCAAAGCACGTCAAAGTGCAAGTAGCTCTGGCTGGAAGGTAAATGGCGTTTCCGTGCGCTGCTCTGGTTCGCCAGAAGCAGCGTAGTCCTGCTGGCCACATGACCCAGAAACTGTACGCCGGCTCCCTTGGCCAGTAAAGTGAGATGAGTGTTGCAACCTCAGAGTCGGCCACGACTGGACCTAATGGTCAGGGGTCCCTTTACCTTTACTGACGTTCTCACCCTGGGCCAGCAGGGGGATACTGTAGATAGTTTTCACTCAGGTCCACATATGCAAATAAGGGACCGAAAGTGACGTTCAGTGATTGGATAGTTACAGAATGTGGTTACAGCTGCGTTGTAGTGGAGCTCTATATAAGCAGCCTGACTGAGCCCTTCAGCTCAGTTCTCTTCTGGCCTGTGAATAAACAAGAGCTGTTTGGAGAATGGCTGTGTCGTCTGATATGTTCACCCACAACTTCACATTTGGCCTCAGGGAGAAGGGAAGGGAAGGCCTGATCCAGCAGCCTCTGCCCCTCTTCTGATGGAGCCTCCAGCTCCAGACGCAGCCTACCTGACCCCGGGCTTCCACCAGCCAGGGCGCCCCTTGGAGACCGGGAGGCCTCATCCGGCGGAGCCTCCAGGCGCCTCTATCGGGCTCAGGCACGTGACGCCGCAGGCCCCGCCCCCCGGAGTAGGCCCCGCCCCCAGGGCCGCGCCTGAGCTGCCGACGTGTCGCTGAGGCGGAGGAGCCATTCAAAGAAAGAAGAGAAAGAGGCGCCACCTGATTGGCCGCCGCGAGAGCCGGAGAGGCGGGCGCTTGACGTCAGAGGCAGGTGACGTTCTTCTGTGGGCGGGGATTCCGCTTCGCCGCGACCAGAGAGTGGGAGGATCCGGGCGAATGAATGGCGGCACGTCCCGCCAATCACACTCGGGATACCGGATTTCCCCCCGTTTTCATTGGCCGGCTGGCGAGGCGGGCGTGCAATGGCGGCGCGGCGACGGGGCGCTTCCTCCGTCCTTCTCGGGCTCCGAAGCGGGGTTCTCCGCCGCCCTGACCAATCCGGGCCTGCGGCTGGAGGGGGCTCTCTGCTCCAATTGGTCGAGAGGGCTTTGGGGGCGGGGCTGCGCAGGCGCCCGCGCGGGAAAGAGAGCCGCGTGCCTCTGGGCGTGTGCAGAGCGCCGCGGCTGGCCGAGAAGCCCCAGGCTCTGCGGAGGGTCTCCGGGCGGGCCGGGCCAGCTCCCCCGCGGCCAGGGCGCTCTGCACATGGTCAGGAGTCCGATGCTGCCGCAGCCTCCATTTGGGCTCTTGGGGGGCGGTGCATCATGAGGTGGAAAACGTGCTTGAAATCACTTTTGTTAAGAGGCCAGAAGCTTTCTTATTAGGAATTACAGGTACCAAGATTCCGAAGCAGCAGAAAAGGTTATTTATCTAGGCAGCAAGGGCAGCGGGGATGTTCTTAGCCCCAAAATGGAAAGATGCAACAATACCCTCCAAAGAAGGGCAAGTGAAAATGATGGGCTCTGCTGAAATGGCAAAACTGACCGTGAAATTAAGGAACCAAGAAGTTAAGGACTTTGAAAAAGAATGGGGGAAATTTATAATGTACGTAAGAGAGCGTTTGAAATATATTTTAAAAAATTGTCCAGTAGCACCTTACAGACCAACTAAGACCCAGAACAAACTTAGTTGGTCTCTAAAGTGCTACTGGACAATTTGTATATATATTTTTATATTTTGGCTGTATCAGACCAACCCGGCTCCCTACCTGAATCTAAGAGAGCATCGTAAGCAAATCGAAACGTTAGCTGGACTCTAAAAATCACTTGTAAAGCAAAAGAAGCTGTTGATCACTTAGACAAATGGAAGCTGTGGAGAATTTATTGATATGTAGATCAAAGAATATTGGGTATGAGTTTCATGAAAGGGAGGGAGGGAGTCACAAGATTTGGAGACTCATGAAATAAGTATGGAAATGATGTTGAGACAAATTTGTACCTATAAAAGCCAATAAAAGTATTTCAAAAAAGGAAAAGAATTCGGAGCGAGGCCCTAGGACTCATCCCAGCGTGCCACTTCTGGGGCGAGGGGCCGCATCCTGCATGCCAGTGGCTGAGGCTTCCCGGCAGCAGAAGGCGGCTCTCGGGGGGGAGGGGGGCTTCCTTCCCAGAGGCGTCTGGTTGGCAAACAGGCTGTGTATCTCGGTTTGCCTTAAGTGTTGGCAGGGACCTCCATGGCCATGTTGCCCCACCCGCAGACCCGCCTTCCCTGGGAGAAGGCCAGGAGCCCAGCCCAAACAAGACAGGCCTGAGGAATTGCCAAGGAGCCGCCATGGGACTTTTTGCTCCCGTTTATTCTGAATGCCTTCCTAATGTGACCCCTCGCCACACCCAGCAGCTCCCAATTGAAGTACAGAGTGTTTGAGGACCGGGACATTGGCAGGGAAACCAAAATGCTTGTTTACAAAGCTATTGTACTACCAACCTTACTATATGCTTGTGAAACATGGACCACTTATAAACACCATCTCCAACTCCTCCAAAGATTCCATCAACGGTGTCTCCGAAAATTTTTACACATCACTTAGGAAGACAGGTGAACTAATGCCAGTGTTCTGGAAGAAGCAAAGATCACCAGTGTTGAAGCAATGATTCTTCAACATCAACTTCGTTGGACTGGTCATGTTGTGTGGATGCCTGATGATCGTCTTCCAAAGCAGCTACTCTATTCCGAACTTAAAAATGGAAAGCGTAATGCTGGTGGTCAACAAAAGAGGTTTCAAGACTGTCTCAAGGCAAATCTTAAAAAATGTAGTATAAACACCAACAATTGAGAAACACTAGCCTTTGAGCGCTCCAGTTAGTATGACAAAAATTTAAAATGTAAAATTTGTAAAAAAAATGTTGCTGCAGGCAGAGACTCCCAAGCCCTGCTCCAGCGGCAGCCCCATAAGCAAGGCGGCCCCCAACAGCCCAGCTCCCCCCCCCACACACCTCTTGTGCAGGAAGACAGTGGCCCAGTAGTTCTTTCAGAATACTTTATTTTATTTATTTATTTATTTTTTACATACATTTTGTCATGAGCACGGGGCTGCCTTGTCCTAGCCCAGCAGACAGGAGTGCTTGTGTCAGGTCCGGAGGGGCGGGGGGTTGTCCAGGGGGTGGAGCGGCTGTTGGCAGGAGCATGTTCGGGTCCGGGGGGAGCAGGTGGGCCAAGGCTCCCCACATGTCTGTTGGGGGTGGGCAGGCTCCCTGGGTCTAGAAGCAGCCCCTCTGGAGAGGGGCAGGGGGGGCTGGCTCTCGAGGGCAAAGCACCAGCTGCTCAGCACAGGGCAGGAAGGGGGCAAGGGCTGCCGTGCCCCCCAGCCACAAGTAAAAAGATGGTGATGGAGGGCATCTCAGCCTGGGAGGAGAGCCAGTGGCTGTGTCCATCAGGCATTCTCCCCATAGCGGAGCGGGGCAAAGATGTGGGGGAATAAGCAGCCAGGCCAAAGTGCCACCAATCCAAAGCTGGCCAAGGGCGCTGGATATCTGGGAATTGTAGAGTTGGAAGGGACCCCCAGGGGTCATCCAGCCCAACCCCTGCAGTGGAGTTGCCCTGGTCCCCCCATCAGCTGAGCTGCCCTGAATCAATGCCTCTTCCTGCCGCCTGGGGGAAACTGGTCCGCAGCTCCTGCCTGGAGGAGGAAAGCCGCCCCTGTTCCTTGCTTTGGATGCCCAGAAAGGAATCGTGGGATTGTAGAGTTGGAAGGGACCCCCAAGGCCATCTAGCCCACCCCCTGTGGGAGGGGAGGGAGGGAGCCGCCTGCCCAGAAGGCCGCAGCCTCTCCTCTCGCCCACCTGCAGCCGGGCTGGGGGGCAGTTGCCCCCTCCTGCAAAGAGCCAGATAAGTGGGGAGGGGGCTGCCTTGGAGATAAAGTGCAGAGAGAATCCGGGGGAGGGAGAGCAAGGGGCGAGGGAGGGGGCAGCTCTTGGGGTCCCAGACCCCCGGGATAGTTGGCAAGGGGGTGGCCGGAGCCTCTGAAGCCGGCAAGCAGCGGCTGCTGTGGTGCCCACCAAGGGAGTTCTCCCCCATCCCCAAAAAGTAGTCCTTGGAGAAGCCAAGCGGGCGATGCTCCCTCCCCCCCAAGCCCCCCGCCCCTAGTGCACCTATAGCTGCCTGGATAGCGATTGGCACCGTCACACTCAGCTGCCAGAGCCCCCGCCCAGCGCTGGGGGGCAGGCCCCCCCGTTGAGGGTCCAGCCCCCCACCCGAGCCCATCGTCCTTAAGGCCAGCAGGTGGGCAGGAGGGGGAAGCCCCGCGCCCCCTCCCGGGCCCAGCCTGCCCCCCGGGGCTACTGCAGGTAGCGGTAGGCCTTGAAGCAGTGGTTGCCAGAGTCGGCCACAACCACGTGGCCGTCGGACGTCAGCGCCAAGCCCTGCGGCCCGTAGAGGGGGTCTGCCGTGGTGTTGATGTAGGACAGGAAGGAGCCTGCGCTGTCAAAGACCTGGAAGGAGAGCAGCCGGGGGTCAAGGAAGGGCCGGGGGGGAGAACCCCCCAAATAAGGTGGTCCCTTTCCCCTGGCCAAGACAGGTAGGGAAGGGTTTTTCAGTTTGCAAATGCAAGTGTTTAAATTACGGATATTGGGGAGTGGGCTGCCGGGGGGGGAAATTCCCCTTCCACCATCAGGTCAGGCTCAAGAAAGAGACTCCAGGCAAATTTTTAGGTAGCAGCTGAAGGCAAGAGAAGATGGTTGCAGAGCATGTGCAGAGTGCAGCCCCTGGGCTTGGAGAGGGACTGCTTTGAGGTCAGAAGGTAAAGACCCCTGGGGCGTTGAGGTCTCTCTCCTTCAGAATCAATTCCACACCCACCCACGGGGCTGGCCCCCCACCGCCCTTCACTGGCCCCCAGTACCTGGATCCGGCTGTTGCCCCAGTCGGCCACAATGATGTTCCCGTTGGAGTCCACGGCGACCCCCGTTGGGGCGTTGAACTGCCCGTTCCCCTCGCCGTGTGAGCCAAACTTGAAGAGGAACTCTCCGTCAGCACTGTACACCTGGGGGGGGGCAGGAACAGGGTTGGCCAAGTACCACTTCCCTTCGGCCTCTCTGCCCTCCCTGCCCCACTGTTCCTCTTGGGCTGTGTGATGGGAGGGGAAGGAGGGGCTGGCTAGCCTGCCCCAGACATTGGGCACTGAGTCCCCTCCTGCTGCCAAAGGGACAAACAGGATGGTGTGCAACACTGGTGTCAGAAGTGGGATGGCATGCTATACAGTGGACCCTCCGGATACAAACTTAATTTGTCCCGGGGGTCCGTACTTACCCTGAAAAGTCCGTATCCAGAGGCGCTGCTTCTTTGCAAGTGCGCGGCATGATACAGCGCTTCTGCGCATGCACATGCGGCGAAACCCAGAAGTGTGCACTTCTGGGTTTGGCGCGTTCGCAACCCGAAATTACGTTACCCGAAGGTAACGTAACCTGAGGTACCACTGCAGTGCATTCTACACTGACTGGCAGCATCTCTCGGATTGCAGGCAGGAGTTTCTCTGCAGCCGTAACAGGAGACGCTTTTGGGGACTGACTTTGGGAAGGACACCCCCCCAGTAGAAAGAGGCTGAGGGGCCTGGCCTGCCCCAAACACTGCGCACTGGATTTTCCCTGCACCCAAAGGAACAAGGCTCTGTGGGGACCGGAAGAGTTTGCCCACTTTAGTAAGATGTTTGTGTCTTGCAGCATTGCAAGACTTCTAAAAGCCGAGGGTCCCTGTCTGGCCCCCCCAGTCCAGCCGCTGTTTTATTTCGCTTCGCTGGGCCCCCAAATCTAAACCGACCAGGAAGTCCCTTTGATGCCTCACATTAAAACCAGTTGGTTCCCTCCAAAGGGCAGGGGGAGCCCCTCCCAGCCCCACTGAGGGAAATGGGGGTGGGGGGCGCTGGGCTTCAGTGCATTAGCAGAGGAGGCAGGCAGCCCCCTCCCCGCCTGCCAGGAATCCGCTCTGAAGGCCACGTGGGGTGGATCCCGCCGGGGATCTGCTCTCGCTCACCTTCACGGAGTGGTTGTGGAAGTCGGTCACCACGATCTCGTTCTTGTTGTTGACAGCGACAAAGTGCGGTCCTGAGGAGAGGAGAGGGAGAGGGAAGGAGACTTTGCTTGCCACCCCCAGGAGGGGGCTGTGGGGGTCAGGGGTCAAGAGGGGCAGTGCTGGGGGGTCAGGAGAAGACCCTGCAGGAGAGATGGGGCCAAATCCATGGGGCCACAAGGTGGCAGGATTCCCAGTGGATCTCTCTCTCTGAAATCCCACACCCCCCCACTGAAAAGTGAGGCCTCAAGAGACAAGCCGTCTGTCAGGGATGTTGTAAGTTGTGATTCCTGCACTGAAGGGGCTGGACTAGATGAGGCCTGGGGGTCCCTTCCACCTCTGCACTGCTATGATTCTATGACTTCCTCCACCTGCTTCTTTATTGCACCTGAGAGCGTCTGGATCAGGACCAGGCCACGGGGGTTGGCCTGGGGAGACCTGATCCTTTCTCCTCACACTCCTTTCCCACTAAAATCGCACCCAATGTGCCGTTTGCTGGAGAGGCAAATGCTCACTTTTCAGCAATGGCAGTCGGGTAGCCATACCACAGTTTCGTCACAAGAGGGCGCCTTTATTTACAGGAAATTGGGGGAGAGATTTCTCTCCAAGGAAGGAAGGAAGGAAGATACAGTGGTCCCTTGGGGCTCAAGCAACCTGGAACCCCAACACTGCAAACCCGGAAGTTAAGTGTTCTGGTTTGTAAAAAATTCTTTGGAAGCCAAACGTGCTCTGTTTTGAGTGTTACGCTGAGGTCTGTCTGTTTTTGCTATTTCTTTTGTGTTTTTGTGGCTCTTTTTTGTTTTGCTTTTGTGACTGTGTAGAACCCAGTTCAGCTACTGATTGATTGATTGATTGATTGATTGATTGATTGATTGTGTGACTGCAGTACATTGTTTATTGCTTTCATTAGATAGAGAAAATCATGTTAAATTGCTGTTTTAGGGGTTGTTTTTAAGAGTCTGGAACGGATTAATCCATTTTGCATGACTTTCTATGGGAAAGCATGCCTTGGTTTTGGAACGCTCTGGTATTGGAACGGACTTCTGGGGCAGATTGAGTTTGAGAACCAAGGTCCCACTGTCCAAACCAGCCTTTCTGCATCGCAGTGGGTTGGACTGGAAGACCTTTGGAGGTCCCTTCCTGCTCTCCCATTCTGATTCTCTGGAGGTTTATAACAGAGGCTGGGCTTCCACCTGTCAGGCATTCCTTGGCTGCACTTCCTGCATCACTGGGGGGTCCCTTCCAACTCTTCCTTTCCGGGGGGGCACAGGCAGAGGCATGTTAGTCGCCACACCAGCCGCCAGAAGGGTTAGTGGCAGGGAAGACACTCCCCTGCCAGCCGCGAGGAGCCCGGGGTCCGTGGCCAAGGAGCCAAGCCAGCGACAGAGCCGAGAGCGCAGGAAAGCCCCTTCCCCGGACGGCCAAGGGGTCCGGGCAGCCCTGGGCCCCTGAGGCGGGCGGCAGAGAGCGCTCCCCTGCCGGGCCCCAGCCCGCTTGGCCCCGGCAGAAGCCCAAGGCATGCAGTAAGAACAGGGAACCTGGCGTGGATTACCGTCGAGGGTACCTGCAAACTGGCGCTCCGAGGTGCCCCGGCTGCCAAACTTGGTCACCAGCTTCCCGTTGGACTGGAAGATGAAGACGCAGCAGGCCTTGTTGTCCACCACAATGATGTGGCCGTTGCGGTCCACGGCCACCCCCTTGGGGCCCATCAGGCGGCCGGCTCCAATTTTGGTCTGGGGGGCGGCATCAGAGGGAGAAATAAACAGGGGGCCCAACACCCTACCCGTCCCCAGGGGGTGCCCATCAGGTCACAGAACTGGGTGCCCCACATTCAACCCCCCCCACCCTGGGTGGCATCTCCAGGGGACAAGGGAAGGTCAAAGAGAGATGTTGCCAGCCAGGGCAGGCATAGTGAGCCAAGAGCCTGAGCTGGCCTAAGGCCCTACTGTGCCCCCCCCACATGGGGTCTAGATTTGGGGTTCAGCCTTCAGCTCTGGCCCATCTCCCCCAATGCACACACAGACTTTGGCCCTCCTGCCACATTCCCCATCGCGTCACCTGTCCCCCTTCCACCTGACTCTACCTGGGCAGGTGTGCAGCAGCTCCCTCCTTCGGACCCGGTGGGGACATTGGGTTAGTCCAACCACCAGGTCCTCAATGGGACCCCCAAGCCCACCCCGAATTTCCTGGACGCACTGAGGGGGCCTTCCCTGAACAGCCGCTGGCCTGGCGGAGCTGCTCAGGGCACCTGAGGGCACCAAGTTGGCAGGCCTTTGCAGGAAGTGGAAGGGCACGGCCCTGCCCAGGGAGTTCTGCTGGGGGTCGCCAGAGACCCTTTGGGTGCCCCCCTTAATGCAGGAGGAACGGAAATTCCCCCCTGCCGCTGCCTCCCTTACCTTGAACTTGCCCTCGGGGGAGAAGATGCTGACCCAGCGATTGTCGTAGTCGGCGATGATGATGTCCCCATTGAGGTCCACGGTGACCCCGGTGGGGCGCTGCAGCTGGCCTGGGGATCGGCCCCGCACCCCAAAGCGCAGGCGGAACTGGCCCTCGTTGGAGAAGACCTGCGCCCGGCGGGAGAGAGAAAGGGGGCGTGAGGGGCAGCCCCATCACTCTCCCCAAGCGGACCTTGGAGGGGGCGGGGGGGTCCCTACCTGCACACACTGGTTATTGCTGTCGGCCACCACGATGCGCCCGCTGCTGGAGGTGGAGATGCCCTGCAGGTTGGTGAACTCGCCCTTCTCCCGACCGCGACTCCCTGCAGCCGGGGGGGGGGGGCACAGGGGTGAAAAGCAGCCCCACATCTCACGCAGCCCCCCAGGAAGCAGGCACCCCACGACCCCACACCAGCCCCACCCGGCCCAGGAGCTCTTCCCACCCCATAAGAATTAAGGAATTAGCTGAGAAATTTTCGTGAGGATCTTTTAAAAAAAAATAATAATCACAAATTGTTGAGGAAATGCAGAGAATTGCATTTAAAGTTTGGAGAAATGAGGAAGTCACAGAAGCAACACTGGCAGGTTTGTCTGTCTCTACTCAGAAGTCAGTCCTGGTACGATCATAGGAATGCAGTCCTGCTATAATTCTGGGCTCAGCCAAGTGTTGGGAAGCCTCATTGCTGAGCTTCCTGGGAAAAGTTTGGGTTACAAATGGAATAGCTAGCAGCTAAATTTGAAGAAGGCCATTCTGAGCCACTGGGTTGC